AATCAATGACCCATATTGGCGTATGTCCAATTTTCTCTTCTGCATGTGCGATGCTTTTCCGGAGTGTAAATATACAGATGCATTATGCTACACGCGCTTATGCGATCCCAATAAATCATATTTGGCGAAATGAAACAATTGAGATCGAAGTTCGTGCCTCGAGAATTTTTAACAATAAAGCTTAAAATTTAATTAAAAAAAAAGGAGAATTTAATATCGGACAAGACGGTGAGCGATACGAAAAGAGGCACGATAAAAAGCGTCAAACGCAAATGATACAAGAGAGAAGAAAAAATCGAAGGAATGTATCGTATCTCTTTCGTCGAAGAGTAAATTAAATGATATCGTGAAGAAAAAAAAAATGATGCGCCGCTTGTCGCGGTTCTAAAACTGATTTTGAATAATTTGTAACATTGGATCATAAAGTGCTTCGGTACAACAATTATACTTCTCTCGCTCTCTTTCTTTTCCTCTCTCATTTTTTTCTCCTCCTTCGTTTCGCTCTGTAAACTTAATCCTAAATTTAAGGCTTATGTAATTAATCGACATAGTGTTTCGTGTGGCTGTGTGTTTGTGTCCCTGTTATGATTAGTGCTCGGTATAATAAGACGAGAGCGTATATGCGAGTTTGGACACTAAAAAGTTTCAAATTTTTCTCGCAGAACGCTTCCCGGAATTTTCCTCTTTGTCGATTGAACGAAAAGCGAAAAATTCAAGGGGCAATAGTGAGAAAGCTCGGCAATCTGTTCGAACACGTTGGCTTTTTTCTCGATGAGCTTCAATATCTTCGCTTATGTATTTAAGTAGCCTGCGTTGCTCTCTACGACGATGAAAACTCGCAAAGTTTCTTTCGTTAATTTTCAACTTTCTTTCGTTAATTTTTACATACTGAAAATTTTCGATAATAACAAAAGATTTCGTATCAGTATGTTAATCAACAAAAGTTTGCATGCTGTTTGAATAATCCATTCATTTTATCTTTCGTGTGTAAAAACATTTTTATATTTTTATCAATAATGAGAAATGAATAAAAAAAAGGAACCGCCTAACTGTTATATTACGTGAAAAAAATGAAAAACTATATCAATTATTCGTCTACAAAATTTCCCTTAAAAAGCGTACCATATTCCACTAAATAAGAATAGATAAAAGATGCATTAAAAAAAACTAATACTCTTTCTTATGCGAAAACGTTATTATTTACTAAAAAATATGCGCATTTCTAATCCATTCACGAACATTCATCGAGAACTAGTTCTTCTATATCATACTTTTTATTTCTGTTCAAGAAAGAAACAAGTCCCGTAGAAAGATCACGAAGGAATCTAATCTAAAATTTAAAAACAATCAACTTTATATCAAAGAATTCTTCGTGAAAGTTCTAAAGTGATTTTCTTTATATTTATATTGCATACTTTTCTAAGAAGTATTTGTAAGAAAGTTTTGGAAAAATCTGTAAAAAGCATCGTGAAATTTTAATAGCATTTCTTCCTTCTCTTCTTGTACCTCTATTACTACTATTACTACTACTACTACTACGATCGAGAAAGCACGAACGAAATATTTCTTTGAAATATCATCTATTTTTTGAAATTATATGCCAATAGAAACGAAGAGCAAAATGTGTACCTAACATAACTAGATATATTGATAATTTAGATATATAAAAGTGAATAGGCGAGATATATACAAGCAATCGAAACTTTCTTCTATTCTCGAAAGTGAAATTCTTAAATCTGTTACTAATTGAGATTAATTATGTATTTTGTGTTCACCGAAAAACATAACTACTGAGAATCTAAAAGTTGAAACACTTAAATGCAACTCGAGTCTAAGTTATTTGTGGCGGAATCTAATCTGACTTTGTAAATAAAATGATGCTTATTTTATCATTGACATTGTCACGAAAAAAATTGCAAATTCATCGAGGAATTTATACCGCTTCAGCGAAATGACTTAGCACAATTCTTTCGCTCAAAAGTTCATTTTGTGAAAGCGAGCAGCAATATCAATCATTAGAAAAATCTTGAGGAATTATTGAAAGCATCAATATAGAATATCCCGACATACGATCAGCCTTATCGATTACTGCGTCTCGAACGCGAAGTGCAACGCAAAACGTCCGTAAACTTATCGTGGTCATAAAGACGATCTTAAAAACGGTCCTCGCATTCACCGACCCTTTCACACGCCTAAGCCCAAGCCTATATTGCGATTTTGTACATTACAATATCACAATTGTATGTTGACCGATAAATGGGTCGTCCCGCGGTTGCACATTTTCTCTCGAATGAAAAAAAAATTGTGATTTTATTCGGACTTTTGACGTTTCTTAACAAGTTGAATCAAGTGTACTAGATACACGTGAAAACTAGAAGTATCTCCCAAGATGCACGCTTTCTTAGTCATGGATTGCCGCAGCGGTGACGATTGTTCATTTGAAAATCGCTTTTCATCACGTTTTTCGGGACGACCCAACCGCAAGTCGGCACGTTGCAATTATAAACTACGTTTATCAGCTACATTTGTGTGTGTATCTTATAGTCACGACAATTGAATCGCGTTTTAAAGCCACGAGCTAGATACGCTCGGATCATTGTGTCCCTCCTTTCTTTTTTTTTTTTGTTCTTTTCTCTCGATCGCACCCAAAGCACTCTCGAGCTTCCGAGCGCGTCCGTATTGATAGTACTATCGAACTGTCAAAAAAATTTACGTTTAATTAACATTAAAGCGTGAAGAATACGGAGAGATGTTATGCCCTCTCTTATAGAAGAGAGCGAGAGAAAGAGACAGAGAGAAGATGCTTTTATTTCTCTCTCTCCCTTTCTCCTTGCTCACTTATTTATCACTATGTTTTTATCCAACTATTAACATCATTATTCTCATTCTTAACATACTTAAATATTACTTCATATTTTGTTTCTATATCTATCACACACACACACACACACATACACACACGCGCGCGTACACACGCATGTGTGCACACAATATACATATCATACATATGTATACATACATACATAGATGCGCGGCATATATATATATATATATATATATATATATATATATATATATACATACATATACATACATACATACATAATACATATGTATTGTATCGATTAGTATTATCAATTAAAAATTAATAGTATCTATTGAGTCATCATCACAGCTAATTTCTCATCAACTCTTCTCGTTAAACGAAGATTTTTCTATTATATTCTGCTTCTTTCTCTTTCCAATTCCATTCAACTTGTTCATTATCGCGTATTTTTTTTCCGGTTGTACGTTTGCGCCGTAAAATCGAGCCTGGCGCCAACCACACAGACTTTTGGAAATCTCGATTACATGTACTTTCACAAGAATGTTCAACTTGTGATTCTCGCGTTCTCGATAAGAAATAAGACAAAAAGTGTTACTATCGATCGCGACCGGACGATTCGCGCGTGCATATGTACATCAATTTTACAGAGGATAATTTATACAATCGAAATTACAATATTTCCGCTTACACAGCTGATATTTACATATTATTATTTCGGAATCGTGAGACTGATTGGCATGCGCGTCTTTATAATAATAAATACGTATGTTTCTCCGTTTAATTTGTCCTCGTTTCCTCTCTCTTTCATCGGACGGCAGTGTTTAATTCGTTTCTTTCTCGCGCGCTTAATGAATCTACCGCGAAGATGCCTTCTGAGATCTTAACAATTCATCGGCCTTGAAGCATATCATCCAAAGATTCTTACGGGCCATTGAATATCACGATGTGTTTCGAGACGCAGTTTCGGTTTTTTTGACATTTACAGAAACGATCGGGCTAAATTAATTCACCGGCTCTTCTAAGAGGTATTACTATTCTTCGCGAAATGTATAAATTCACGAAAAGTAAAAATTAACATAAAAAAACAATAAATTAAATATCTTCAAAAAACGGCACAGATTTATCGATATTAATCGTGACTAATGGAACTCATCTACGATGTAGATTGACCGGATGCAATTTATTTCGTTGAAAAGCAAAGCATAAATTTAAGGGAGGCCCCAAGATATTATTCAGCATTATTCTAAATGTTATTGAAAAAATTCGCGGAAAAATAAAATAAGAAAGAAGACAAAAAATTTATATAAATATATAATCCAAAACGCTTGCATTTTCATTATGCTATTTTTTTAGTTCCTCGTAATTAAATCACGTAATTAAATTTCGACATAATAATTTCATTTTTTTTCAAATAATTCTCATGTAGAAATACATATTTGGATTTATTATTGGTGATAAACAAATTTCAAACGTCTAAAGGTATAAAAATAATCTCTGAACTGACAATTCTTCGCGCACATAAATCGAAATCTGAAGGCAAAAGGAAACAAGTTCCAAACTTTCTCCTCGCGCGTATCCCGGGATATCGATTTTCTCTCTCGAGCCATTGAGCACGACGCAAATACCGAAAAAAAAATCTCACGCACAATCGAGTCTACACTTGACAAGCATCCGTTGTCTATCTGTATAAAGAAATATACTTCCTTTCAATAATTTCCGACGTCATAAGTCAAATCGATCGTTAGCTCAACGGACGATTAACTGCTATGGATATCGTCGGTTTTGAAAAAATTTCTTTTTACAAAACTATAAATATATATATAGAACGAGCAATCGAAAAATCGAAATTGCATATATTTTGATATTATTTCTTTAGCTTTCTATTAATCTTCCTCTTCCTCATTTATGAGGCTATTTCGTATTTGACATTTACAACCATTCCATAAACTTATCTTATCTAAGATTAATTGCTTATCGAAAAAAAAAGTTAACGTAAGAAGAAAAATAAATGTATTGTTGCAAGAAAATTATTGCAAATTATCAGAAAACTTAAAAAAAGAAAAGAAAAAAGAATAATATTAATTAAAATACTACGTCAAATAATTCTACTCAGTCTATGGCTTGAAATAATTTTGCTTATTACGGAGAAAAAAAAAAAAGATAACACGAATTTTTTTAAAAACTTAACTCTCGATCGTATTCTCCACGCTATTGTATCGTTAAGGCCTTATCTTACTACTATCATTGTTAATTATTTATTCTTATATTATTATTATCGTTACTGTATTATCCATTACTGTATTATCCATTTACTTGTCTAATATAGATAGAAATGATGCGAGTTTGATATGACAATTGCGCCCATAAAATATTAAGAACAACGAAAAGCTTTAGTGCATCGTCCTACTCGTCCTAAACCTGTTAGCATAATAGAACTTTCCGTAAACTTGCACAAAGAACGTTTTAAGGACGGGTTGAGTCAATGTTGGTTATTGTTAAACCTTACTTCTGCTTTTATCTATTTGTGAATTTCCATCTCGTTGATAGGAACATAGTATTATTTCTTAATTGTTGTTATCAAGTCCTTAACTTATCTACTTCTTAACTGTTGCTATTCATCCATTTCTTAACTGTTGTTATCGTTAAACCTCATTCCTGCTTTTATCTATTTGTGAATTTCCATCTCGTTGATAGGGACACAATATTATTTCTTAACTGTTGTTATCAAGTCCTATTTCTCTGTTATAGTTATGATTACGACTTAAGACAGACAATCATTTTATCAAACGTTAGTTAACCAAAGTTATTAGATAATGACGACACTAATATTCTCTTTCTCCTTAAAAATCTCTTCTTTTATATCCTTCATATCTAAATAGTATTTGTTAATATTGAAATTTTTCAAACGCAATAGAACGATCACGACAATCACATTAATAGTATTACATTAAGAACGATTTATAACAGATGTTATAAATTGATTACGAATAAGAAGTTTTGTTTATATAACGATTGAATCTGACAATATTTCTTATCTCGCTTTCTCTGTTCATTTCTATGGAAATTCAGTTTCCATCACTCTTCTTTACTATGATAAAAATAAACTTTAAATTTATGTGCAATTTATTAATGATTTTATTGAAATATGCCGAGAATCGAGTACGAAAAATGTGATCAAAATTTGGAAATTGATGCACGATGTCGTAATGATTATTATATTATATCCAAAACACATTCATACAATCGAAGCATTCATTCATAATCATTCATGAGTCTTTATCTATCATTCAGATTTCTTCTGTTATACCAATCCCTTCTGTCTATGTCGTTGATTTAACTCACACTCTGTTAACGTGTACTATGAAACTCAAAACTTATATCTTATACTTATTTCACGTAGAACAATATAGCAGAATAGCAAGAAAATAAAAATATCCCCAACAAAAAAAAACAAAAAAGAAAAATAAACTGAAACTAAAAAGGGCTACTTGAAATTCATTTGTAATCAAAGTGATAAAGAAATTGTTAGTAAAGAAGTATACTGATAACGATCATTAGTCGGGCGGTTGTTAAACGAATAATTATTTGTCCAGCATTTCCGTGCTACGGAGCAGCAAATTGTACGCGCCGCGACGTCTCCAATATTGTATTACTAGGACTATTGGAGTTTGACGAGATAAAAACGCGCACGGAAATACCTGGTGTCTTAAGAGCAATGCGAAACGCAGGCTTTCAAAGATGCTTTGAAAAGAGTTGTCGCAAAAAGTTATCAGATATTTTTTCCTTGTTTATCAACGCGTCGATATTGAAGCACATCTCGTGACAGAATCGCGAAGCGCAACTTCGCTCGTCCGCGCTTGTCGTACAGTTCGTCAGACAGGATGTACTTTCTCTTTTTGTGTGTTCCGATGATGTATATATAATATATGTATGTACGTACGTAGGGCTCTCCTTGTGTTTTTGTTGAAAGTTTAGCGGTATACGATAATCTAAAATACACAGTATATTACTTACATTTTTGTCACAGCGTATAATGGCGCGTGATGAGAGTTCCAGAGAACGCAATATACATATATAATGCATGTATCTCTCTCGTGCGCGCGCGCGCGCACACACATCGATCGCGACATCGGAACGTACCGATGCACCGCGTAATCGGCCGTGTATATAGTCTACGGTTAAAGTCTGTATGCTGGATGTATATCTTAGCGTAAAGAACGGATTACGATATCCACTCGCGAGATAAAATCGAAAACCCGTGTGTACGGCCTGCACACGGTGTCACCATTATCAACCATCGTAATCATCGTTATTATAATTATTCCCGCTATAATTACTCTTCTTGGCCGATGACTTTATCGATGATAATTCCCTATCGTACCTGATTCTCTAGGAGCTGCTGACGGCCGCTTCCTTTCTCGAACGATGGTGGTGGACGTGTTGTTGGTTTTTGGGTATCAGGCCTGGACGTTTAGCATTATACGCAGTTGCCTCGTGTATTCGTTCGTGCTGTTCGATTGGTGACAGCTGTCCATCAGTCCAGTTACCGTGCTCGTCCAACGGCTCGGCGGTTTGGGTACGCTCGCGGGCGATGGCGTTTCCGAGAACTTGGCACCCGCGTAGAAGCTGTTGTTGGTCGGGCTGCTGCTTGGACTGCGCTGCTCATAGCGTTGCTGCTGTTGTTGCGGCGAATTCCTCGGACTTTTCGATGACGAACTATACGGGCTGCAGCTCTGCCGGCCGTCTTTGGTGTTTCTGGCGGCGTGGCGGCCGTTCTTGTAGAGGAACGGCGATGACTTACTGTTGGAACGATGGTGCTGATGGTGATGATTGTGCTGGGATTGATACCCGACCTTCGGCGAGGCCTGTCGGTCCACCTTGGCGTTGTCTAACTTGGGCGCGGAATTCGTCATGGCTCGGATGTTTGTCTTTCTCTCCCCGTCTTCGTATCCTCGTCACTCACGAGACCGACCAGATTCGTCGGTCTACAACAGGAAAAACAGCTTATCGAAACATACGAGCATTTTTTTATATTTTTTTTACGACGATATTTTTGCTACATTTATAATAGGATAATATATAAAGAATGCATACTGCATTTTCAATATTTTGTTAAGATATTACGAATATAAATATTTAAAATATATTTTATAAATATATATCTAAGGATATATATTTATAATATATTTTATAAAATTATATAATTAATTGGCTTTTCGTCAGATTACTCCCCCCTTCCTCTCTTGACTATTTATATACAGGGCATTTCATATTCATTGTAAAATATTTATTTTTCAATTATCTTATCTTAATACTTTTATGCACAAAATAATGAGAGGAATCAATTGGTGTAAAGAAAACATACAGTTGTTTTTAAGAAAAAATATGGAATTATTAATTGTAAATTACATATTTTTTCTTAGAAACAACGTTATGTATGTATTTTTTTTACATCAATTAATTCCTTTCATTATTTTGTGCATAAAAGTATTAAGATAAGATAATCGAAAAATGAATATTTTACAAGATATTTTATGATTTATGTAAAATTAAGAAAAGATTTCAAGCCTTATAACTCGAAAAGTACTTCATGGAAAAATAATTTATTATAGTGTTTTGGAAAGCTCTCGAGGTAAGCTACAAAAATATGCAATGAAAAATAGGGGGTTTCATTAAAAAAAATACACTTCTGGTCTGAATCGCCTATTTCCAGCCAAAACCAGAAATTGAAAATATCACCATTCGATAGAGCACACCCGATTTATAATGAAAATGGTTTTACTTTTTTGAAATAACCACTTCTCTAGTTTTTAAATGGGTGGTACGGATGGTCTGAAACACCTTGTATAAGAATAAAACTACTAAAAAAAAAAAAGAGCCCCCGAGTCTCAATAAAAAATTGTCCAGGTATAAAAGAAATTTCCTTATTCAATAAAAAAAGAAATTACTTTTCGAAAATTAAAGAAAAAGAAAAAATGAATGAAAAGAACACTTTAGTCTTTTTTCGAATGAGAAAAAGAAATATGAGATTTTTCATATTTTTTCAAGCGGAAACATTCTGTTATAAAGATAACAATATACCACAGAGCCATTCTATTCAGAAAAAGAGAAAATACTTTCTTTTTTCGAAAAGAAAACATTCTTAAACATTGTACAAGTATACTTTTAATACATGCACAAATGCACAAAGAAGATTATATTGTAAAGCAAACTATGATGAATTATATAAAAATTTAGATGCTAAAAAATATTTTACTATAGAAAAAAGAAAGAGAAAGTAGAATACCGTTCAAATTTTATGATTTATACAATGCATTCAGATTCATTATGTAAATATAAATTAAAAATGAATTTATGTTCAAAGAAATAGAATAGAAACGTATTAAAAACGTAGATTTATGTATAGAAAGTAGATTTTATATTATTTATTGAAATTTATTATAGAAATTTAAGACATTCGCAAATGTCATTGATTACATATTTTATACAACCCGATTGGATTATTTGCGCGTAAAACGAAATAATCTATTATATTATTCAGCTTCGTTCATATTCCGACATTCCTCATATAGAATATATTTTCAACGTAAAAATATTTGTACGCTAACGATTTACGTGTTTACATAACAATGATAACTGCGCACTCTCTGTATCTGATCCTCGATAAGCTATGCATTTTTTTCCAGCTAAACATTATTGCCTACCACCTTTTATCGCGGCGAAAAATAAACACGCAGTGTTTAGTTATAAGCTGCAAAGATAAATATATATATAACATTTTTATTATAATCCTATTGTAAATCATAATAAAATATTAATTAAAATTGCTATCTAACAATTTGTCATGTGCGCAATAATAATTTCGAATATTTATATTTGTTTTTAACTATTTTTCTCGAAATTCTATTGCGCTTAAAAAACTCTTGAGACACTTTCCGTTTTAATGATCTACAAATTAGACATTTAATTAAGTCAATTTTATATTCATTAATTTTATTGTTAACTATTATATATTATTAACTATCATAAAATAGAATTACAAACACACTAAATGGGCAAGCGTCCAAGAAATGATGCCAAACCATAATAGATGCGAAAATAAAATATAAAGAAGAATATGTGCAAGAATTTGGATAAACAATATTTTACATATGAGTATCTATTTAGGCTTGTGTTTTATTTTCCATAAACCTCAATGTTATGTAAAATATTGGCATAAATAATTAAATCTATAAAAATCATTGGATTATGAAATTTAATTTTCGAGTTCATTAAAAATTAAGGAAAATAAAGTACAATATTATTAATGAAACGATATTCTCTCACAATAGCAGCCAAAATCTTTAATTTATTGTAATTAAAACAAACGCGAACACAAATAGATATTCCTAAATTTAAATTCGTATTAATAAAACATTGTTTACGTTTATCAAGGCTGAGTAAGTTCTTGCATATATATATATATATATATATATATATATATATATATATATATATATATATATATATATATATATATATACATACATACATATATATTCTTTGTTCTTTATCTCACTTATACGCTTTAATACGACTCGGCCCCTCTCCTCTCCCGAGGTATCCATTTCCTGGATGCCTATCGACACACATTTCCAGGAAACTAACGCATCTCGAGCGAAAAAATAAATAAATAAATAAAAAGAAGACGCAGTGCGTTTCTCTTACCGGTAATTTTCGCGGGTTGCCTCTCGGAGGCGATATCCCACGTTCCTCGGCGTCAGTGCTCGGCAATTTTTCCAACTGCGCAATAATCACAGTCCCCAGAGTAGAGCAATGATGGAGACGAGGACGACGACGACGACGACGACGATGGTGATGACGATACGAAGGAATAATATGCGGCGGGGCACTCCGAATACCTGTTAGCGCAATGCTACCTCGCTTCGAGTTCCTCTTCTCTCGCGGTCCTCCCAGTGCGCGTTCCTCGCAAATTCGACCACATCCGGCGACCGTTCGCCACCTTAGCGTCTCTTTCCTTCTGCCTCCTTCCCGTTGCTCTCGCGCGGCCTATTCTCCGACGCGGAGAACGCGCGTTCCCCTCGCTCGCCGACACTTCTCTCTATCGCAAGATGGCGGACGCGAGTTGTTTGGGCTTCGGGGACCTCGCCGTAGGCACGGATCTCTGGCGAGCGCCAGGTCCCAGGGTGCGATACACGCGCCGACCGCGTCGAGCTGATCGTCTCCCGGAGATGGACCTCGCTAAGCGAAGTCCTATCTCGTTACGTTACGACGTGGACGTGCACTCGAGCTTGTTACGTTTCGGGTTCTCCGTATGTTCTCGATCGTGCTCGTCCCGTTTACTCTCTTCCGTTTCTCTTCGTGCACCCTCGATCTCGTTCAAGCTTCTCTCCAAAATCGCACGCACAATAACAGTCAACCGAGGAAAAACCAAACTCGTGCTCCCGTTATTTATCTACACCTCTCTCCACGACACTCCTCTAACACTACCTCTCGCCTTCTGCTGCCTGCGCTTTTATAGATCTCCCTTGTTCGAGACGGAAACACGAGTCCCCACTACCGGCCAGCCGATCTGCGCATGTCAGTCTCTCTTCATGAACGGACTCGACGGTTCCGTATTTAAGGTCGTCGCACACACAAAAATTCCGTAAGACGCATAAACGGGATCGACCAATCCCAATCGAGCATTAGGCTACGGAGAAGTTACAGAGAGACCCGATACTCGATTGGGATTGGTCGATTTTATTATGCTTATGTCCTCATGGAATTTTGTGTGCGATGGCCTTTATCGATGATATACAGTTGCGTATGTGTGCGTTTTTACGTGAATTCAGTATCATACATACGGATGATGATCTCATGTTGATCGACGGTTTTTTTTTACGATTTTGAATCCAACGAGACAAAACGTCATCGATGTTTTCTCTTCACTGACGCGATGTACTGTGAAATTATTTAATATCGATGCCGTTTATAGCGATCGATGGGAGACACGCGTAGATAGATTCATGGCATATACAATAATACCGAGAAATATTCCTTGTATCGTGTTTATAAAATGAAGATAGGTGCGTATATACATACATACGCAATGTTATTACGAGCGAAAATATAATATTGTGCGCATGATCAGAGCTAGACAGGCTTGTAGAGTTTCTACAGTAGGTTCCGTCTGTGAAATGTCAAAATGGCGTCTTCTCAAGACGCTTGGTATCTCTCGTTGCTTGGTTTGGCCGAGAATTTTCGCACGTCAAAACCGCCAAATGTCAAATCGTGCATCCAGTGTCTGCAGGCGGTTTTCCACTTCAAGCCACCGCCACGCGTCGAGGCGCGCACTCACCTTCAGCTCGGCAACATCCTGCTCACGCACACGAAAAACATCGATTTGGCGCGATCTCACTTAGATCAAGCGGTTAGTCGTTATTTCATTTTGCTCGCGTTGTTTCGCGCGTCGAGACATCGGTGTTAACTCTGTCCTTTCCTGTTCCTCTCTCGCGATTCAAATTGTTTCCCGCAAACTGTCTCCCTCTCGTTCTAACCTCTCCTCGACAACATAAATATATAAATAATAAATAAATATAAGCGACTTGGAATATTAGCTCGATTGTATATTAATGAGCGTTGATTAGAACTGTTATCTGAGCTTGACTAATGATTTGCGTTTGTTGTTATTAGTGGCGACTGAGTCAGAACATAAATACATTCGATGATGTAAAGTTTGAAGCAGCCAGTGTAGTTGCGGAACTGTACGAACAACAACAACAGCCAAATCTAAGTAAACCAATATTAAGGAAAGCGATAGAATTGTCTCAACACAATGTTTATTGGCATTGCAGGCTTATCTTTCAACTTGCGGTAAATTTTATAAAGATTATTTTGTATTTTTGGAAGTAATATATATAAAAGCAGTGTTTTTGAAACATGATAATTTATGATACATAGCAAATTCATGCTTCGGAGAAGGACTTTGTCGCAGCGAGCAGTCTGCTTGCAGTGGGCGTGGATTATTCTCATATAAGCAATGCCAGTTACACCAGAGTTCTCTTTCTTCTGTCTCGGTGTATGCTTCTCTTAATAGACAAAAAATTCACAGAGGTTAATCCTCTTTTAAATTCAGCGGGACATCATGTGGAAAATTGGCAAGGTAGTCCGTATCAAAAGGAATATCTGAAAGTTTACTTTTTAGTTCTCCAAGTATGTCACTATCTCATGGCAGGTCAGGTAAGAATATATATGTGAGCATGATTTATGTAGTAAATATATTATGCAATACGCTAATTTGTAATGATATATTTATGTTTTCAAATTAGGTGAAAAGTGTGAAACCTTGTTTGAAACAATTGCAACAGAGCATACAGACTATAATGTCTCCTAGTTGGCCAACTGATGATGTAGTTACAGGTTCCAATATAGGAGATATGTTTATATGGATGCCAAAAGATCATCTATATGTCTTGGTTTATTTAGTAACTGTCATGCATTCTATGCAAGCTGGATATATGGATAAAGCACAGAAATATACCGATAAAGCCCTTATTCAAATTGAAAAATTAAAAAGTAAATATGCGTTGCATCTTTTGTTCCCTTGTATCAAATTAAAAAATTTGACTCAAAAAATTAAAAATTCTTATTATCTTACAGATGGTGATAATAAGCCTATCTTGTCTGTGTTTCAATTAATGCTTTTGGAACATATAGTTATGTGCCGGCTTGTAATGGGAAATAAGAGCGTGGCTCTCGCAGAAATTTCTCAGGCTTGTCAGCTTTGCAGGCGACAGCCTAGATTACTTCAAAGCCATAGACCACAATTACATGCATTATTAGGTTTATATGCAATGTCTATGAATTGTATGGAAGCTGCAGAGGCTCAATTTAATGCTGCACTTAGAGTAAGAAAATTATATGACTAGCCTCTATCTGTAATTAGTTATATAAATTTTAATGATTTAAATTGTTATTCTATTCAAAACTGACACTATATTTTTTTGCTATCACAAATTTGACAATTTTAAGCTAGGTTGATAAAGTATTCATATCTGTATTTAATGGGATAGATGTAAGATCATTTTATTCTCATTTTAGACATCACAAGAGAGGGAACTCTGGACATTCGCGAATTTAAATTTAGCAATAGTATATCTCAGAACAAAAAGAGACGCCGAATTAGGAGCATTATTAGAAAGGATAAATCCAGAATCTCTACCATCAAATTCTCATTCTTTGAGGGCAGCTGCCTATTATGTACAAGGACTTCAAGCTTTCTTTGGTGCTAGATATAATGAAGCAAAGTAAGATTTTTTCTAAATTTATTTTCATGCATCTTATATATATTTAAAATTGAGATATATTTAAAATTTAGATATATTTAAAAATTTAATTTCTTGCAAAGTAAAGATCCGATTCTCAATATGTAAAACAATTCCATACATCAATATAAATATCAGTATAAATATATATCAATGTAAATGTGATTTTTAGACGATATCTTAGAGAAACATTAAAAATGGCAAATTCGGAAGACTTGAATAGACTCACTTCGTGTAGTCTTGTGCTTTTGGGACATATATTTCTTTCATTGGGAAATAGTAGAGAATCAATGAACATGGTCACACCTGCAATGCAGTTAGCATCTAAAATACCTGATGTACATGTACAATTGTGGGCTACTGCCATTCTTAAAGGTACATTTGTATGTTTTGCGTATTGAAACATAATTTAATATTTCTTGATATATATATACATATATACAGTTATACATATATAATTGATATTACAGATTTGTATAGAATTTGCGGTGATCCTACTCGTGAAAATGAAGCGTATCAAATGCATTGTACATTTTCCCAAACCCTTTTGAAAGACCATTTTCAGAGTACTCAAATGAGTGAGCATTCACTTATTCATTGGACAGATGGTTCAGTGCCTGCGTTACCAATCAATCCACCACCATCTACGTCTCAAGCAATTCTCTAATAACATTAAAAGATATTTAAGTGTGTCTATTTACTTAAACTGTTCAGATTATCTGCTGAAGTCGTATATATTTGTATTATTTATTGGGTTGTAAAGTGTGAAATTCGTTTCAGCATCATTCAGTACCAGATATTAAGATAATTATAATTGGTAATATTTTCGAGAAAATTGGATTTAATTGTGAATGATGAAGAAATGAAAAAATATTGGATATTTGATGTAATATCCATTTTTTTAAATATGATTTTTGCAAGAACATGTGACAACTAGTAAGTTATAGCTTGGGAGCTTGTGTGATAATGTTTATAATAGTATTTGAGTCATCAAAATTATATAGCAGGGACTGATTATTATATTTAGATCATTGGTATGTTTTGTTTACACAAGTTTGTATAATTTAATTTTTACACATTTTTTTTAATGGAATTATATTCTTTATAAGAGGAATACAAGTGATGAATCATCATACAAATCAGATGTGTTTTTAAAATTATATGGCTTATTCTGCCGCATAATGTGTTTAAATAAGATTTGTACTGCACATATAAAAAGTATAAATCACACAAAAATATAGAATAAAAACGTTTATTTTTGTTTAAAAGCTTCATCAATTCCATATTTCAGACTTTAATATGGTCTTGCAAAATTTTCTCTACACAATGTCAATCTAATGTGTTTAATATTAGAATTATAGTAAATAAAAATTAATATATTAAGTTTTTAAACTGAAGAAATATATATATATATATATATATATATATATATATATTCAGTTTAAAAATTTAATATATTTTATTATATATATATATATATTCGCTTTGATTGCTCGTTTTCGTATATATATATATAATATATATATATATATATATATATATATATATATATACAATTTAAAAGTTGATTGTGTTTCTTCTAGCAAGACTTCATCATTTTTTACAATCATAATTCATATAAATTTAAAAAATTGTGTATATATATATATATATATATATATATATATATATATATGATTTGTATGATGATATATATATATATATATGATTTGTATGATGATATATATATATATTATATAGACACACACACACATGTATATATATAGTTTATTCTTTTTTAATTTATATAATGTTATTGTCGCAAAAATGAGGAAATCTTTTAGAAGAAACAAACAACTTGTAAATTGTCAAATTGAGTAAAGGCGATGAGGAACAAGTATCAAAATTTATATTAATTTTGTATATATTGGATTATAATACTTTTATATATATTATATACACATACACACAAGGAGGATGAAACTGAATTAACTTTTTTAGGTTTGATAAATTATCTGAATTAATTATTACAATGATTTTACTTTTTTTTTATCATACATTTTCTTTTTTTAATGACCAAAGTAAACATTAATAATTTGGCTGTGGACACAACAACAGAATGACAGCATGTTCATTAAATGGTATGATAAAGGATGATAGGTACAAAAATTTGCAAATTAATTGATAAAGCAATTTTTTACCTATTATATATCTAGGATATTTCAGTATATATGTATTTTTATTAAAATTATATATATATTGTATGAATACATAATAAAAATATAATTGTTATTAGTACTAGTTACAGTAAATAAAAAAAAGAGGCCTTAGAAAAATGTAATTTAAACTGCAAAGAATTTTTGCTTAAAATTCTTTGTTTTGTTTAAATTACTCAGAACTATTTTGTACATATTTTTAAAAGTAAAAAAGTACGTATGCAAATAATGAAAAAAAGAATGTAATAAAATACAGATTTGTTTATTAAATATTTCACTGTTGTCGGAACATAAAGACAGTACAAATCTCATGTTTTGTAGTTTGTTTTTTTTATATAATAAGTATTATATTAATAATGTGTATAAGTGCTACTGTTCAGATCATTCATATAATTAGAGTCCCTGATGTTATAACATTGCTTTCTTTTAGAAAAAATAAAAGATATAAAATGATATAGAAATCTTTTTTTGACAATAAAATTTAATCATTGCATACAGGTTTAATATATGTACAGTTGTGTCTCTTTTTCATCATATAATATTTAAAATGATCAAAATCGCTTTGATTGCTCGTTATATAATTATGTACAATGAAATGGATATAATTAATTTTATATTATATCCATTTTATATTACTTACAAAAAATATATATCAGATATATTAATCAAAAATTTCTAAAATCTTTAATATTTCTTTACAAATTTTATATAAATTTATAAAATTTTAGTTGAAACGCCGAAAAAAACATATATTTTCTTCAATTTGATATAGTTTCTCTTATATTTAGCAAATTGTGATATATTTGATTTATTATTAGATGTATCCTCTTTTTATTTACATGTCCTCCAAAGAAGAATTGGTAAAATAAGAAATATTTTTATTAAAATGTGATTTATTTTATCAACCACATTTTTGGACAATCTATAATTTTTCTATTAATTATATATATCAATTATCTTACAATTTTTAAATTATTTATACATTTATTATACACACAACTATAGATGCCACAAATATACATTAATTCCTGTACCAAATTTGTATACTTTGCATACGCTTTATCTTTTTCTGTAACTGTAAGATACCATATAACAATGCTTCAGCTGTTGGGGGACAACCTGCAATATTTTTTTGAAGTTTTAATATAGTAGACAAAATAAATAATAAATAAAGAAAATAGATAGTAACTGATTAATACAACTAAGTAAATGGGTATAAGTTTACCAGGTACGTAAATGTCCACAGGTATAATTCTATCACAACCTCTAACCACAGAATAACTATAATGATAATATCCGCCTCCATTCGCGCAACTTCCCATAGAAATAACCCATCGTGGTTCAGGCATTTGATCATAGATTTTTCTCAAGGCAGGTGCCATTTTATTCGTCAGGGTGCCAGCGACTATAATAACATCTGACTGTCGAGGAGAAGCACGGAATACAACACCAAACCTGTCCATGTCATATCTAGGTGCTGCAATATGCATCATTTCTACAGCACAGCAGGCTAAACCAAAAGTCATTGGCCATATTGATCCCTTGCGGCCCCAATTTAACAGGTCGTCCACTCTAGCTAAGGCATATTCTGCCATATTATTGGGTCGAAACGGACTATAAGGCTCGACTTTAGCTTTCTCTGGCAATGGAGGTTTTGCCTTTTGTACAGATGACTCTGTAGCCATATCTTTACTCTGAATCTTTGTAATAGCAGCAGCATATCTTGATGACGTTACATTGTTACCCACTAAAGACACCAGTCCCTTTGGGACATTATCTGTATAAAAAGAAATTAGTGCTCATTATATGTTTACATAATAAATAAGAGTATAATAAATACAATAAATAAGTATAATAAATATAATAATAAATATAATAAATATGAGTTAGCTATATTTATGAAATATAATGAAAATATTTTGATGAAAGGAATCATACTACGCAAATAAACAAATACGCATTAAGTTTTGACATATATCAGGATGTAATCTTATGCAATAACATGGTATTAAGGCGAAAAGTGATTGAGAATTAACATTTAGGCCAAAATTGTCAATCGTTCATCATCAAAGTCAATGTGCCATTATGTTTAATATATGATTAAAAATACACATACTACTACTTAATAGGCGTTAGAATAGAATATAAAGATATTTAATAATTGTTAATATAATTTATAATAAAAATAAGACTCACGTGTAACAGAACGAAACATTTTCGACCTCACGTCAGAAACATTCGCTACAGAAAGAAGAAGGAGAGACGTCGAACTACAACGCCAAAATCTATGTTTTCAGTAGGTAACACATAATGGGCATAATTTCGGGTTGTGTTCCATGCTACGAAATGTCGATAACACAAGTGTGTAATGCAAAATGCTTTATACTTTATACTTTATATTAAATAAATTTTTAATATAAATAAGTTTTGTATGCGCGCTCTCTCTCTCTCTCTCTGAAGAGAGATTTTTTAAATATTTATAATTAAGAATATTTCGTCCGATGCTTTATCATATAATTATGTGATGATTTAAATATATATAATTCGTCTGAGAACGCGCAGTAAAACGATCGAATGGCAAAATCGAATAATTATCGTAATGGAAAGGCATGTGACGTTATATATGATATTAATCGTTTAATAAATAATTAATCTGTGTGTACATGTGTGTGTGACTTTAAAAATATACTTGTATATAAATTCAATTTTTGTATATGTACGTCATAGTACGCGTAAAATATTTCGGCAGCGAGGTCAATAACACGACGTTCGGCCTTGATGACGTAGCGCTGTATTGTTTTCATAGGCGAGAAGACCTTGTATCATTCGCACGGCGACATTCCAGTAGTAAAGTAGTGATACGGAACACTTCGTATTATTGAATTCTTTTTCTAACAGTGCGATCGCGATTAATATAATACACTACGACTATTACAATTAACAATTAATTAACTCTTAATAAATAACATGAAACTATATGGCGATGATACGTCCATCGAAACGCGATCCTTCATTATTCCAAATAAAAATTGAAATAAAAGAGGCAAAAATTATAAATTATAAATAGGCGACCTTGTATTATTCACACGACATTTCAACGGCAAAGTAGTGATACAAAACGCTTCGTATTATTGAATTGTTTTCCTAAACGCGATCGCGATTAGTATTGAAATATAATTCGCTACGACTATTGTAGAACGAATCGTACTTCTTTATCCCTTATACAATATATTAATGTGCGTTTCTCGTAATTATTCCGCGATCGGGAGTGCCGTGCAAAAGTCTCGCGATCGTTTCTATAGTATATGACTAAATATAATTAATTGTTTGTTCGCGAGTGAATATGAAATGCTATGAGGAAACAGCAAAGGATGAAGAAGAAAAAAGAAGGACATCTGGAAAAGTATCGGACACTCAGAGAGCAGTGAAAGAGCCTGAAGCAGTCAGAGAGATATGCGGTGAGTAATTTCTAAAAATTATTTATTATTATTATTATTAATGAGTAATTTATAAAAATTATTTATTTATTATTATTATTTATATGTGTATTATTTTCAAAATAGCTATATTGCTTATTATATATATATTAAAGTACGTAAAATATTTCGATACCGAACATATTAAAAATAAATTAACTTATAATAAAGATCATGAAAATGTATCGCAACGATATATCTTTATCGAATCGCAATCATTAATTACTGCGAATAAAAATTGAAAAAGAGAACAAAAAAGGGGATAAAGAAATTAATTTGATTATGATCTTTCGATTATTGATGCTTATTATAATAATTTCTCTAGTGATACTTATTAAAATTGAATAAATTTCGACCAATGCTTTAAATTTTCTTAATCGACAATCATTCATAGAATATTTCAACGACATTTTATGACTTACGATCATTCGCACAGTTACCTTGAACAATAAAGTAGTAATGTTTCAATATATTATCAAATTCTCTCTCTACATAGTCAATCTTGGCGATATAAACAGTACCGCGATAATGTTTCTGACCTACGATCATTCCCTCAGTGGCCTTCGAACAGTGAGGTAGTGATGTGAGACGTTCCATATATTATCAAATTCTTTCTCTAACAATTATTTTGAACATTTCTTTATATAATAGATTATCTCTTATCTTTTATATTTTTATTTATCGTTTATATTTGCGAATTAAAATTTATATAGTATATTACAAAATTAATTATATATTATATTATATATAAAATAATATAACCCTCCCATGGGGTACACCTTGTCGCGGTGGGAGGGCTTAGTACCTGGACGGTGCCTTGAGGTTTATTTTAAATTTTCCAATTTATGATAAATCTTAAGGTGCCTGAATGGGAAGCCAAGTACCCTTTCGCGTCGTCGGTGCCGTCAACGTGTCGCGGACGGCAAGCGCTTCGTCAACGCGTCGCGTTAAGTATATAAATATTAGGGAGTGCCGTTAAAGGTATATACATATTAAGTATATACATCGCGCGATCAAATATAAAATTTTTAATCGCATCGAAATAGTGCGAGAGTGCCGTTCAGTATCGCGCGTAAAATAACGAAAATAGCGATATAAAAATATCGCTCGCGAGTGCGGGAGTGTCGTCAAAGTATCGCGCGCCAACAACATGAGAGGAGGAGGAGGCCTGGGAGAGGCATCTTGCATCGGCGAAGCAACCTGATGGTGAATATATAATATTTATTATTTGTATATTAATTGTTATAAATCGTACGCATAATAATTCGTTCTTATAATTTAAAGGAATTAAAGAGAAAGATTTTTATAAAAGTCATATAAAATTTTCTATTTGAAAAACAGTTTCAAAAATTTATAAAATTTTTCCATACGTGTTTATTTGCTTATTATTTTATACATCGGATATAAAATTTCGCGTGATAAAATTTTTTAAAAATATTAATTGCATTTTGTGAATATTATTATAAATGAATTTTATATTTGTATGTTACAGACAACTAGCTTCGATAACAACTTCGCTGTTGCGCATCAGTGCCGGTGAGTGAAAAAAGCTTTTATTTAACTTTAAGGTAACGGATTTGTAGAGATTGCAGATGTAGATGTAAATGTAGAGTGTAGACTGTAGATTGTAGATAAATTCGTTGCCTTAAAATGGATGATCTAGGATGGATTAAATTAAATAAATTAAATAAAATAATTAAATTAAATTTTAGTTAAATTAAATTAAATTAATTAAGTTAAATTAAATAAATTTTATAAGTTCTTTCGAATTTATGCTTTACATCTATGAAAATATATTGAAATATTTATTAAAAAAAGAAGAAAGCAAGAAAAGATTTTTTTGTAAAGATTTTGTCTAATTTATTAAATAAAGGACACGCATTAACAATTAGCAATTTTATTAATTTTTGATGCTAATTTATTTTTATAATACGCACTTATCTTCTAATTGCTCATAGCTCATCCATCGTAGAATTTGTTTGTAGATATTATTTTTAAACTTTACTTTAACTTAATATAAAGCCAAATGATTAATTAATTAAATAATTTGCAATATGATAAATACACATATTAATTTTATATTTTGTTATAAAATATAATTTATAGAAATTTGTAAAAATTTGTAGTAGTTTGGCTTTATTTCACTTAAAATAAAGTTATATTCAATATTTAATGAACGATCGTGAAAACAAACGATCGTTACGATGAGCGTGAAATATTTACGCTTATTTGCCGGTAATTAGTTAGCAAAAGAAGGAATATTTATCTCCTTTTTCAATCTCTGATTAGAGATCGAGTGAGAAAGTAGTGGCCAGAAAGATCGACGAAAGATAGGATCAACTGGCCTGAAGAAAAGCTCGCACGCGATTAGGGCATTGATTAAAATATATATGATTAGTGATAGGCTCTCCAAATCTAGAATAATTTTAGTTAATCAAGAAGTAGGGTTGTTAGGACTCAAGAAGTAGGGTTGTTAAAATCATTATTTCTTTTAATTTTTTTAATATTCCTAGAGATAAATTAAAATTAGGTAAAAAAATTAAATTGAATTTATTTTTAAAAATGTTGCAAAATAAATATAACATGTTAAAAATAAAAATAAAAATGCTTGTAAAAATAAATATAACATGTTAAAAATAAAAATAAAAATGCTTTAAAAATGAAATTTAAATTATCAAAATTTTCAAGAATATTAAAGAAATTGCATAATTATTAATGTATAAGGAATATCTTAACATATTATATTTTATTTTAAAAATATATTAAAAATATATGTGCATTAAGTTAAATAATATTAAATCCAAATGTTAATGCTGTTAATATTAAATTATTTATGTTATTAAACATTTGGATAAATTGTATATATTTATTTGATATTGATAGCATAAACTTGTAAATTGTAAAAGTTATTTATAATTGTATTTTAATTATAATCTAATATTGATATTGTAATTGTAAAATACAATACAATTATAACATGTTTTAAAAATGAAATTTAAATTATCAAAATTATTTTCAGGAATATTAAAATAATTGCATAATTATTAATGTTTATATTTTATCATGTTATATTTTATATATATATTACAAAAATTAAAAATACATGCGTATTAAGTTTAATAATATTAAATCCAAATGTGTTAATGCTGTCAATATCAAATTATTTATATTATTAAATATTTAAATAAATCGAATATATTGTTTTTAATAGTCTGCACTAGTAATGCAAATATTTTTTTTTTACTATTCAAAAGACGATCGATAATTTTATTAATGACTAAATTAATAATAATTTTATTAATTGCAATTGTTTACATTATATAAATCTGATTAAACTCTAATTATTATATTGATTATTAGAGGGATTTTGATAAAATCATTGCTGCAATGTTGTAATATTGCCGTAATATTGCTGCAATATTCTGTGTTTGCTGGCTATATTAATATTTTTTTAATAAATTAGAAGCAACAATATAATAATCGAGAGAATAAAAGAAAAGTGGTTAACAGTTGCGTTAAAAAAATAGCTCGGAAAGATAAGCGGACCCGAGAATCGAGAATGAGAATGAATAGAGAATAAACAAGATGATTTATCATCAGAAGTCCCTTACAATCAGTTTCCTCGTTTTTTTATCCATTTGCAATTTATGAGAACATAAACATCTTATAAAATAAAAACTGAAACTTTTATTTTTTGTTTTATCGGGTTTAAAAATAATTTTAATGAATTAATGAGATTATTGTGATTAAAATGACATCAAATTCATAAATCAAATAATTCTTAATTAGTTTGGTATTAAAAATTTTATTTATATATTTAATTAAATTTTATTTGACTTATGTCATTTGATGTCATTTATAAAATTGCTTTCAAACGAATGAAATGTATTTTCTATAAGATGACATATTCGTATATTCGAAATATGCATATGTCATATATGTCTATAGAGACAAATAAAGTCTCATGTAAGAGACTTTGGAACGACATGAGAAGCTTTTTTCGTTTTTTATAATAATTTGCGATTTTAAATATTCATAAATAAAAATTAAAATTTTTATATTTTATTTGATATCTTTAAAAGTAATTAAAATAGATTAATTAAATTTTTGCATTTATAATGATATTAAACACGATTTAATTCAGATAATTTTTAATTATTGTTACATAAAAAAATCTAATTGTAATTGTTATTCGAATAAAACGTCGGAATTAATATACTTTCAGCTCAAAAATTATATTAATTTTAAAATTACATTCAATGAGATAAACTAAGAAATATAAAAATTTTAATTTCTAGTTTATACCTAATGTATTTGAAAGTGTCTTCGATTCTCGAGCATTTGAAAGATGCATTTTTATTATTTCTATTACATTTAAATCAATTAGACTTTTCTTCTTTATATATATTATTTTTTCGGACAGCGAGAAGGAAATTGTGCAGAAATTCTCACGATGTTTTTTGTAGAATGTTTTTTTATTGGCTCAATTTCTCTGTTTTATACAAAACATCTAACAAACACAAATGCTTCCGGCTGAATTTACTTCGACCTGTCTTTACGAAAGCAGCTAATCTATCGATTTTGCATCTAATGCACTCGTGTGTCTCGCAAATTTCCGAATACGCTAAATACAATGCGATTATCGGTTTGCTCAACGGTGCTCAATGTGGATGGATCTAATGGTTAATCTAACGCTAACAATATATTCGTAAATGTAATAAAATGTGACATATGTATATGTATATCTGTGTATATGTATGTGTATGTACGTTTATTCTTGTACATGTGTGTCTGTGTGTACATGTGTGATATATTTTCAACAATTCTGCGCTAAAGTTCAGCCGCGGACGGGGACGAGTGGCTAGGCCATGAAAACCGATTTTACAATCTGCGTAACATTTTCGCTATATACAAAAACGATCTCTAGATCATTCCCTTTGTCTTTTTCCTTTTTCGAACAGGACGAAGGACAGCTTCGTGTGTGCCATTGCGCTCTATCTCATCGCCAATAAGTATCGCGCGTTGCGAACTCGTCCTGCAATCTGCAGTGCATCCACGTGTCCGGTCTTGAAAGGACGATCTTATTGAGGATACGAAATGTGAGAGGCGGCGGTGGTGACATGGATGGTCTCAATAACATGATATGCCTTCGTAGAGATCTATTCAGCAAAAGGTTCGTTAACCCATTAATGCCTAGAATTTTTTATAGATTAATTAACAACTTATTTATATATTTATCATATATATTTATATATACCGCAACAACAACAAAGTTTCCTCCTCCTCCATTTTCGTTGAATTTCGCACTGATGCTCGCTATTCAGCAAGTAACTGGATATTGTAATCTCTTCTCGACTGTTTCTCTAAGAGAATCTCGCGGTTGTTGAGAGCATCTCGGTTCTCTCTCTTTTTTTCCGCAATGATCAGATCGCGTGCGACTATGTCATCCGGATTCTATTATGGAGCTGTTGAGGATAATTCAATTTCGGCGTAAAATACTGCTGGCACGAATGGAACGTTTTTTTCTCTTTTTTTACAGCTTAACGACATCTACGACGTCTTGCGTTTTAAACTAGGAGCATACGTTATTTAATAGGACATCGAATCGGTGCAAAATTAAAATTATTGCGATGGATACGTTCTGAACTGCGTCTCGAAGAGAATTTAAAACATAAAGTATATCGTGAACCAAGTCGTTAATGTAATCTATTTTTGATAAATTATTATCTATCTTCGAAAAATTAGATTAAAAAGTCTTTAAAATCAACAAAACTTATGTTTTCATTTATTTATTGAAAAAAATAACAATGCATACATAATCTCTTTTCGTTTTGTAAAATAATATTAACCTTTTAAAATTGACAAAAGCTATATATCCTCATTGTTTTATTGAAATAACAATATATTCTAAAATTTTCCATTTTTAAAAACTAATCTGTAGTAAAATTAATTTAAATTCTATCAAAATCTGTCAAATTAGTGAAATTTTTATTTTTATTATATTTTTTTCTTTTTATTCATAACATTTTTTAAAGCAGCACAAATTTTATTTTTTTCACATTGTGAAACATTATCATAACTTTTTTAAGAATACCTCATATCTGTCTGCTCCATTTCGGAACCGAAGCGAGCCGCAGTTCAATGCCCTGAGCCTAGAGAACGGAAGTTTCTCTAAATGAAACGTCTAAGATCTTATGTCTGCGATGATTCATAAATTGTGCGCCTTTTCTTTTTCCGCGCGTTTTTGCTTCGCGACCACCAAATTATATTCTCATTTGTCGCGATTTTTTCTCCCGTCTAAATTTTGCCATTGAACTGTAGATAATGGCATTCCGTGTCCCGGCACATGAACAGTTCTCTACGTAGCGAGAAAATGAAAATGTGTGAGAAAGACAAATTAAGCGGCTAATGATTCATCCGACGTATTTCCATGGCCGCAATGTCGTCCACGGAGATAAGCTTTTCTATGGGAATGCACGAGAGTTCGCCGCCGACGCAGGATTGCGGTTGTTGCCACCTAGCCTCCCTTTCCGCTTCCTTAGCCTTAAGCTCGGCCTCCCGTGCGCGGCGTTCCTTCAACTTTAATGAAAAGATCGCTACCGAGCGCGCCCGCTTCATCAGGCTTTGCTTGACGCGTGTCTTTTTCGCTTCCCGATCCTCTTTCGTTGTTGGTTTCTCCTCTTCCTGACTCGAGATGGTCTTACTGGAGTCCGATAGACCACTCGAATCCTTCTCCTTCTCGGCGAGATAGGATTGCCGCTCGCGATCGCGATCACGATCACGTTCGCGATCACGATCACGTTCGCGATCATGTGTCGTTTCTCGCGAATGATGCTGCTGATGTTGCTGTTTCTCCATCTTCTCCCGTTCTTTCTCCTTCTCTGGCGAAAAGCGGAATTTCTGGTTCCTGTGAGCAACGGCCCACGGTGGTGCCGACCTTCAAGCACGAAGATGTATTGACGTGTTAGTGCTCAAACGTAAAAGCAGTGAAAAATATAAAAGATATAAGACTTTAGGACATTTTTATATGTTGTGAAAAATAAAAAAAATATTAATTTGTGATAAAGAAACACCTCACGTCATCTTTTAGAGAAAAATCGCCTTATGATATCGAAATTCCCCCTTTCTGTACCTGAGAAGATCGCTATCTGAGGAAGAAGCGAGCTCTTTGGAAACAATGCAGTCGGTTGATCTATGCAAAGTTAATTCCTCGTCCCGTCCGCTTACTGTACCGGCACCGCTAATTTCGGAATCGCTCGACTTCCGGCCACCAGCCTCCAAACCTAATCGACGTACCCAGTCGACACCGCCGTGCGGTCCAATAGTTAGATGATGGCTGTAATCGCTTGCACCTGATGCTTCTGGCTCGTTGGTCAACCACTCTCTCGAGCGTCGCCCTACTGAAAGATCTCTCGTAAATATACGGAATTATTTAATCACACAGACTCTAACAAGGGGTCTGTGTGATTTTAATTAAAATAACTTAAGAAATTAAGGATTTAAGGAATTTATTTATTTTTTAAGCATAAAATTAATTAATTGCTCAAATCAAACCTCGTTCGCCTCCTGGAATGGAACATCTCGGCGTATTGCGAATATCGCGAGTGACATTACTGGAATTGCTTTCAAGTAGGAATGGGCTACTGGTCTCGCTACTGCTTCCGCCGCTACCAGGTGTCTCAGCCGTGGGTGGTGTTTCCGCGATCCTCGGCACTGACGCGGCACTAGGCGTTGTCGGTCCACTGGGTGTATGAGTGGTCGAAGCCAAGGTCGTGGTATCCGCTTGACTGGACGTGGTCGCGTAACCGGTGCGATCAGAAAGCAAGTGCTGCTCTTCACTCTCTCCGTCTGCTGGACTCACCACGAATCTCCCTGAGTTCGAGCGAAATTAATAGCTGATAGGAGGGAGGATATAATGCGACAGGTAAAGCGATTAGCACTTTCTTGCTGAGCGGATCATTCGTAAACTGGCACTGGATAGGCTGGTAGTTAAAAATGGTTGTCAAATCGGGAGAAATAAAAATGGGATACGAAGATATGATTTTCATAAAGTCACATAAAATAATTATACATATATATAAAATAATTATAGTTAGATGTATTAGACACTGCATATACATATATCACATGAACATTATATGAAGATGAATTATGTACCTATTACTGTTGTTGGTTGTTGTTCTGGTGACGGAGTAGAGGATAATCTTCGAACTGCCTCACGTCGTAAAAATTCGACTTTAGCCATCTCGGTAGCGACCCAATGAGGTATGTCGGGAATTGCGCAAATAATCACAAATCGAATAGCGAACATTATATGCTCTAATGCTACGATTAATAAGATTGTTTGCGTTGCCGACATCTCTGGGAACATTCGTTGTACTTGTCCACTTAATCCAATCAAGGCGCAATTCACTAAAATGGCGACCAGACCCATCGCCTCCATGGCATTCTATCAAAATTACAAAATTGAACTTATATTATTTGTAATTAATTTCGCTTATAATTTATACTTAATTGACACTTAAGTTATGTAAGCATTAACTTTATACAGGTGAATTTAACGCGCACAAAAATAATAATGGAAATTTATCTTCTTTAATTTTGTTTCTGAATTGTAGTTATTTTATTATAGTTTATAGTTATTATGTTATAGTTTATAGTTTTATCTTTGTTTCAATAATGGCAATAATAATTTTTCAATAGAGATTTGACAATATTATATATATATATATATAATTTAAAACCTTATGAAACATAAGAAAATTATTTTAAATATTTTTTGACGAATGTGAGCACAACTAACACAATAAAAAATTAATATAATTTATAAACAAAAGGGGGGAGAGAGAGAGGGAGAGAGAGAGAGAGAGAGAGAGAGAGAGAGAGAGAGAGAGAGATCAGATGTATGATAATAATAAATAACTATAATTTTTTAAAATTATTTTTGCATGTTGAATTCACTTTTAAATTTATATGTCAACGTATATAAACTTTCGAAGATTGTTCTTCACTTACTTGCCATGTGCCGATATTCGAGACTCTACGTCCGAAAGGTCGTTGAAGTACGAAACATAATTTAAACGCGTCCCCGCGTAATTCCAGTAAATTTCCAAGTAAAGCAGCCATCGCAGCTAATGGAAAAGCTGAAGAGAAGAGACAGACATATCCCAATTGTGATAGCATTTCCAAGTGCTCCGAAAACGCCCCGTCGTACTGTAAATTAAAAGCAATTATTTATTAAATTTGTACAGAGCAATCTTATAATAATTTTAATAAATATTTTTTCTAAATATGTCTTATAATTATATATACATATATGTATATATATAATTATAAGCAAAATTTTATTTTGAATTTTGTTACAAATTACAGATTATTTAAAGAGGCCTTAGCTTGACGATATTTGACAGTATGAAATAAGTAATAAAAGAGAATTTACACTTGATATTACAGAATATCAAGTATAGATTAATACAATACTAACAAAAAATTTGTCAGTTATAAATACCTGCTATAAATACAAAAAAACACATCCAGTCATTGTCTTTAGAAACATTAGAAATTTATTGTGATTTAGTGTGTGTTTTGATAAATAAATCATGCATACATTAAAGAAAATAAAACTTTAGCGAAACACAAATTATAAACTCGGGCTCTGTATGATAAGCCATGAGAATTTTGTGTCTTATATCCTTCGGTCACGTAACTTGTCGTGTTTGCAAAGATTTCTACGATATTATTTAATAAAAGATACATTATATATATATATATATTTAATTATTCCAAATTAAATTAACTTTCTAATTTCTTTTAAAAGGATCATCATATTTAAAATTTTATTCAAAATTATTTAGTAATATTTATTTTTTATATTGGTTGTTATATTATTATATTATTAGCGTGTATTTAAAAAATAGATAAAATAGTACAATATACATGTGAGACAAAAATGACGATTGTTCGTGACGGAAGAGATTGAGATTTAATGATGAATATGATATTACCTTTCTAGTCGATACCTGTGCGTCGTCGATGGAATGAATGTAAAACAGGAAAGAAATCATTAAAATTCTGCAAAAAAAGAAAAATCGACAAACGCAACGTGACTTTGACATTACTATTATACAGTTCAGCTTTATCACCATGCAATTGAGTGCGCAGAGTGCAAAATCTGAGCGGAAAGAACAAACGGAAAAATCTTAGGAGCGAGATAATTCAATCTATGATGTGAAGTGTTCATGTCACTCGCAACATCGAGAACGGAAACCTGCTTAAGGAGCAGAAACCTTGACAGGATGATTGAAGTACCCATTAAACATAATATCGATAGTTCAATAAAAGAGTATATCGATGGCCTTCCGTTTCGCTTGCGAGTGCTTCAAGGTCAATATACATGTGTAGCAAAGTGCTCCGACAGAAAAGAAAAAAAAACTAAATTGGCTAAATCTAGATCAAACCTTCAACGTAACGTCACTAAGTAGAGAATTAGTGGGATGCCCTACTCTGTAGAGGGAACTCTCCAATTCTGCTTGGCTGACATTTCGCGGTTGCTTCGATTTGCCGCTATCGGGCCGATCTTCCTTCTCCTCGTTGTCCTTACCACCTTGTACCTCTTCGCCTTCTTGACTCGGGGGCGGCCTCGCTTCGCTAGGACTCAAGGCTCCGAATAACTCAAAACTTAGACGCGCCAATCGCAGCTGCTCGATTAGATACGGTACCGCGGATTCCTTTAGATTGCCGATCACCTGACGAGCTATGAGTAGAGCCGCCAATTGCTGAAACGGATGTTCATATACTCAATATGATTATAATGCTTCGCGAGAGAAATAATTGAATTATCACCTCCTTAAGTCTCTCTTGATCTTGAAGATAGAAGGCGATGTAAAACAGCGACAGGAAGGAGTTTACAAACTGAAACTGAAATATAGGATAGTCGTTGTAGATTATATGAAGATCGCAATATGATATTTTAACACACACATCATATGTATACAAATTTACATAAAAGCAATTATACGAATGATCTATGACGTAAAATAATTAAGCAAAAAAGTGTTCTTTTGCGAATAGAATGTTCATGCAGCGACAGAGACAGCCAGAGCAGGCATTAAAACAAAAAGCTTAAAATCTATATTGTATTTTTTAATATGTTCATCTCTAAATATATAAGTATATATAACTTTAAAAGTATTATTTCTAAAATTAATGAAATATCCAAAAGTCATTTTCATTCACGCTATGCACGTTTGCCTGAGTCGCATAAATGTTAAATCAAATTATAAAACTATACTAGCAAAATTATCGTACCTAATTGTTTCCATTCATAAATATTTCAACAATTTCTCTATTAATATTTATATTTATACTTTTATTTATATCTATATTAATATTTCTGCATTAAGCTTTTCTTCTGAATAAGTGATATAGAACTTTAATTTGTTTTGTATTATAAGTATTGCTTTTTTTATAGTTATATTTTATAAAGAGTAAAGTTTATTACGCCTCTTTAATATATTTCAAATATATAAAGATATCTCTATCATTTACTAAAAAAATGAAATATGAGAGTAGAGTAAAATTAATTATATCACATATTAAAATTAATTATATTTACTATTAATTAATTATATTTACCACATATCGCATATTATTTAATAAGTCATATTCAACGTAATCATAATGCAACCAAAAAGAAGTGATAAATACAAATAAAGGATGGTATTAAATTATAATAATAAAATATGTAAGATATATAAAATAAATTAAGAATTAAATATGCATTAATTTAATTAAATATATATTAATATACATTAATTAAATTATTAAGTCAAGCGTCTCAGGCACACTATGATATTGTATAATGTTGTCGATTATAATTGATTACAACAAATTTTTAATTTGATAAAGGACTGATGAATTATATTTTTATAATAAGAAAAACGTAGAGTTTTTTGACATCAATCTAATGTTATTCATTGCGTTTAATTAGAGAAGAACATACATATAACATCTAACATTAACATTCTATTCATTGAGAATGGAGAGTTCGTCTTATTACCAGTGCCACTTTGTAGATCAGATGATTCTCGTACTCGGTGTCTAGTCGATAGTTTTCTGCGTCCAACACACAAAAATTACAAATACTATCTACCGTACCATAAACGCTCTCCAAGATTTAAATGAAAATGAAACTGTATCTATATATTATATCTCATAAGTTTAGTTAAAACAAAAAAAAACAGAACAACAATCTTTAATATAAATGTTTTTGTTACATAGTCTCCCAATTATTTTCTAGAAGAAGCTAAGCTGTGGAAAAATTATCGCAAGTATATGCTATGCTCTTGAACTAGACGTGCATAGTGTACCGTATGTAAAATACACAAATCGATGCGGAGAAGTCGGCAAATGGCGATTGTTCGTATTTTGAGTCGCATGGAGATACGATTATGTCAAAAGAGAAAGAGATAGAAGAGAGAAAGAGAGAGATGGAGAAAGATATGTGTTGAAGTGTAAGGAGTCGATTATTATTGGCATACTTACCCAAATCATTTAACCACACCGCAACTTTGAAGTACGCCTCATCCATTAGCGCAATGACCACTGCGAGCAAAACCTTTGGCACGTAACTAAGCCAAAATCCGTAACCTCCAGATTCAAGATGCGCGTCCCACCAATCCTGTTATTTTGCCAAAAAGAATAAATCAAAGATTAAATTAAAGAATAAATCAAAGATTTATCACTACAAGTTTTACATACATTTTTTTTAGTTTTTGTGTCTCATAAGAATACAGAGTGAATTATATGAAATAAATTATTTGCTGAATTTTACATATTTATTTTATATCTTTCAGAAATTTATTAATTTTTAAGTAGAATAATTGTTTATGTTTATTTCTGTATTTAAATCGGAATTTTTGTGAATGATTTTAATAATCATAATAATATTTTACTAATATACTAATGAAATATTATTATGATTATTAAGAATGATTAAAATTATAATATTATCATTAAGATATATCATTAAATATTTTTTAAATAGTGATAAATATTTAATGTAATTTACAATGTAATTTCGTAAAATTCTGTACCTGTATCTGAAAACTTAATATCATAACGATGAAGACGAAGAGTAAACATATTGCGATGATAGGCACGCTCACGAAATACCGAAACATATTTCTACGCCATCTGGGATATGTTGGTTCCAGTCTTCCTGTAACCGGTGAAATCTCCAAAGTGCCCTTAACAGAATTAAAATCATAAGTGAATATTAAACTTTACAAACAAATTTTATAAATATATTTTTGTTCTTTAAAATGCCTCTGTGATATTTGCTATATTCTCGGTATAAATAGTGTAGCAAAAGCATATCTATTCTCATAGCACTGTGCAGGTACAGATGAATTAGCACACTACGGCGTTACCATGCCGATATTGGAGTGCTTAAGAATGTTCGAAAGATTCTTACTGTAAACAGAGGTCTAGGCTCGACCAATAAATCGTCCCTCTGATCCAAAGTGCCCCACCTGTACGCCAATTCCGCGCCTCTCCTTTTCCATGTCTCCAAGTATACGGTAGCCCATATCACGTTGAACACCGAAAACAGAACATAGGCCACATCCTCTACCGCTTGGTTCCTGCCGATGATGCCGACCTAAAAAAAATTGGGATATGATATTAATAATAAGTTTCTTATATTTTTAAATCTCAAAATATCTTATTGATTGAGAATCATAATCTGCTTTTAAATTTGTTTGTTATTAAATTTTGCCCATCTTAAATATCGATAAAAATATACATGGAGCAAGCTCATGTAAAATATTAATATTTTTACATTAAATATTAATATTTTTTACATGAGCTTGCTCTATGTATATTTTTATTTTTATTATTTATCTTATTTAGATTACATCGATATGAAACGCATACATACCCAGTATATGACACCCACTGCAGCTGGAACGATTAAAGCGGTGGTATAGTGGCCCAGCCAAGCAAAATACATGGTAATTTTCACTCCGAAGTATTTACAAATATCATCCAAGGGCTGTGGGCTAAGAAACGCGCGAACCCAATTCCGTTGCAATTTTTCTAATGCGGGTAATTCATGAAGAGGGAAGACCTGATGAAAAAAAGAAAGAAAATAAAATGTAATTTTTGAGAGAAAATTTGAGATAAAATTTAGTGACAGTGTGCTTTTTGATAAAAAAGAGATTCAAAAAAACACGGATGAGGCAGATGATTGATTATATCGCACCTGAGAAATAATACCGGACGAAATGCATTTTGGAACGATCGCTTGACCCTCTACCATTTTAAGACCAGATAAACTGTGAAGATCGTGTGGGCCCGCTCTCAAAGTATGAAGCAGGTGCAGCACTAGAGACTGTCTTTCTTGAGTAGTGAAGAATCGACTCTCATCATCGCTGCCCTCGAAGCAATTAGCCTCAGAGCCGACAAACTCCTTGAATCCACCACCAAATTCCTGTCGCAGAGCCTTCGGTAGATGCACTTCCTCGGCAGCCTTGAGTAGACTACGAATCAATAGAGTTAAAGTTATTTGTATAATCTGTTTCGTTTTCATTAAAGTTCGAGTTGACAATCGAATACTTACATTCCGAAAGGTGCAGTAATGTAAAACCCGTAACTGTCCGATGAAGCATGATGTCGCACGTGAACTATTAACCCCGGGGTTCCAGCCCGAAGCCGTCCTAAAAACCACATCAAGGTCTCGTCATTCGCCCCATTAGGGAACATCATGACTACGTCGCATTCCTGGAAGAAGTCGAATTATTAAGCTTCTTTGTGCATAGTTTGCGCGGGAAAAACTATATAATTGGATTTGGAACATGTATTGAAAAAGTGAATATAAATTAAAAAGGATTTAAAAATATGAAATTTTATATAAATTATTACTAGGCATATATATTTTTTCTCTCAAAAATTACATTTTATTTCTATATCTTTCCATATCAATAAAATTTTTTACATAATTAAAATATTATATTCTAAATAAAAATATCTGTTTCTATTATATATATATATATATATATATATATATATATATATATACATATATATATATATATATATGTATGTATGTATGTGTGTATGTGTATGTGTGCGTGTATTTGCTTAAAAATATATGTATTGAAATTTTTATTTAATTTTTATTTAAATTATTTTATAGTGTTTTATTTTTCATATTGTTAAATGTTTTATTTTTCATTCCGAAGCTCCATATTGAACTTATATAGCAATCGCTTTTATTATCTTCGAAATCCTGAAATTAAATTTGAACGTAATTTTTCATATAAATGTTATGTAATACGATTGAAAAAGACGTACTTCAAAATTTCAAAAGTTACAAATTTCAAAATGATGAATTTTAAATCGATAAATTTCAAATTTTGACTTGACTTTATATTGGATGTATATATACTGAACAACGAATTGATGTTGTAAATATTTTATTGAACACAGAAACAAATTTAAATTTAAATTTATATAGGATCACAAAAAAATTAGAGTTTGTATTGTATTTCATCATATATTATAGATCGATTAGATCGTATTTTTAAGAATAGTTCAATGATCTTTTACGTCATTTTGTGAAATATTAATGATCTCAAACGATTGAAAAAACAAACGGCTTGAAGGCTTAGCGTGGCCAAGTAGTTACGTACATTACTAGGTCAGCCGTGTTATCGGGGTATCGTACGTGAATTGGCAATACCAAACGTTATGCACCTATTTGGACATTAGCCAATTTATGCTGATTCAAGTGCAAAGATTAGGTGTAGAAACTATTGTTAGCTGAAAAAATTGACATCACTTTGAAAAAGAAATAGTTATATATGTACAATGAATCAATCCTTTGCACAAGAAATTGTTATCTTAATATTTAAACAGTATTATCAACAACGTGTTATCTCTATTTCTAATACAATTAATAAAATATGACAATCTTATGTATTCAATCTGATGGCACAATAATTTCTCACATTTTATTTAAAGAAAATTCGCGATACATTACATAATATTCATAAGAAATGTGTTATAATAAAAGTATGTATTTTAAAAGTAAACATGCATAATATTCGTGATTTTATATGCAAAAATATTTATTTTTACAAATGGTAAAAACGGATATCATTACAAAAATTATTAGCTTGCGAATAATGCATAATATGCAAATTCTTTAGTCAACATTGCGTGTAATAATATCTATTACATTTGCATAGTTTTCCCTTTAAAATTAAGAAAATGATTTTAGAGAGATTTTTAATTATTTTTGCAGGAATATAATTATTTAATAATAAGAAAATATAATTATTTAATAATACGGATATTAAAAATATGGTATCAAACAATCCTCAGGGTTAGCATAAATATCAAATTTTAAAAAATCAGTATTTTTTCTATGTGAAAGCAAAAACATATCGTAATGAGAGCTAGAAAAATTTTAAATATGTCGCAAAATATAAAATATAATTTCTGAATCTTCGATATGTAATAGATCAACAACATTTGTTTGGATATGTAAGAGATACGCTTTTGGAAAATGGATCGCTTAATAAAATATTAGCAAAGTTACATGAAACCGGCACTTAATAGCAGCAACCAAGCAAATGATTATATTTCACATGCAATAAGTAGGTATGCCTGGCGATATGCGATAAAATATTGTACATCATAATCATTGAGGCTTCAATGCACTACAATTGTTATACGGCGATGACCTACTTGAAAAGACAATAAGAGGGAATCGTGCAGAGACGATACAGTACTTATATATAGGATGTGACTTATAATGAGTACCAAGAACTTTGATAATTTGTTGAGAAGATTATTTCAAGAAAAAATATGATAGATCTTAAATTTTGTGTGCGCTAAATAATTATATAATTCCAAGAAAAGTTTTTTGATATTATAACAAATTAACTAATATCAAATGATTTTTGAAATAATAAAATATAATATTTGAAAATTGAAAAAGAATGAGGCTCTTTATGTATTTAATAACACGACACACAAGAAATTAGCGATTAAGAGCCACCGCGAATGGTAGTGCGTAAATTATATATATTTTTCCGATATTTTTCTCGTCTACATCTCTTCAGGGGGGTAAAGAGCGGCTTATAGAATTCTCAAAAATGAGAATCTATATCTTGGTAAATGCATCAAGTAAAATATATGCATATGCCTTCTGCACGTTTAAATTTTCGCGAATAATTAATCTTTAAGAAAAATTTACGTACTACCATCCGCGGTGACTCTTAATCGCTAGTTTCTTGTCTGTCGTTATAATATTTGAAGAAGAAATAATCTTGTTTATGTTTTATACTACATTCTTTTTCAGAATACACTTCTTAAATTCGAAAGTGATGTTAATGTTTTGCGCTGTGTTTCAAAATTTTTAAAGTTCGGATTATTTCGAAACGTTTAATCTACAACATTAAAAAACGCACATAGTTAATTACTTAATTGAAAATTATGCACAAATAAATTTATTATAAAATTAAAATTTTATTTTTTAAATTCAAGTCTTTTATTTTAAAAAATTATTTTATATTAAGCTTGTGAATTTGTTAAAGTATTAAAGTGTTAAAGTATTAAAATATTTTCATCTTTATATAAATAATTATGTAATTATTTCAGATACTATTTATACTTTTTACTGTAAATAACGTATAATTTAATGCGCAGTTGAACATCTTATATTACGTCAAATAACATACTTAGGATAAATTCACCTCACATTGTGCTAACACGACAAGAATCGAATCGCGCAATTCAAGACGGGATAGTAAAAGACAAACAGAATAGCACAAAATCAACAATATAGCTTCGAAGTAAAGTCGCAATACATGCGAACTTCTTCGATATCCATTAATGGCTTAATGTGTGTAAAGCCAATATTATTCAATAGACTTACATTCTTTAATAATTATTTATATAATATATAAATCCGGTGTGAATCAATTTAGAATATAAATTTATTTATTTATTTATTTTTATATATAGAAAATCCCTGTATTCTTATTATTTATGTTAAAATTTTTCCTTTTGGAATTAATTATTTACAATGATATCATTATATCACATTATATATTACAATTGATGATAGTCACGTACATGGGGAAAAAAGAGATCTTTGAATATATGTCATTAATAGAAGCACATAAAACCGTTATCTCTGTGCAACGTAACAATCGAGTGTAAAAAGAATATTATACGCAACAATCGAGTATAAAAAGAATATTATACGCATGATATTGTATTACAAATCGAGAAAACTAGTATTACTTTTTATCATAAAAAACATTCGCATTTTATAAAAAAGGTTTTATAAAATTCAAAAAGGGATGATCGGAGTAAAGTATAACTCATAGTTAAGTATTTTCTTTAAACTCAATATGATATTGATTTACGTAAATAATTGCATGTACAAAAGAATTAAGTATATATATATATATATATATATATATATATATACACGATATATATAATTTATTTGAAATAACATATATAAATACGTACCTGAGTAGGAACCTTTTGTATCCATAGGCGGCGGGGGGTCATTAAGTGGCCTGTACATGGTATTTTTCGTCTCAAAAGACGGGATGCTATAAAGAAAAATACATGTAACTACTCAAATATATTAAATATATATATATATATATATATATATATATATATATAACATTAAATGGATAGATATTATATTGCTTGTATTAGGGAGATTGAAAATCTTAAGGTCACTTTTTCCTGAATTAAATGTTTGGTGCTATAGATACACAAAAAAGATATGTCTCATATCAGTTGCTGTATTTGTATTTTTTACCAATAGATATTTACAATAATTTTAAACACTGAAAATATAATACATTAAATTGTTTTATTTTAAATTATTGTATTTTTTCATGTAGAATTATGGAGTATCCGGATGTGGATTTATAGTTATTTTGAAAGAACTTAAATGCTTATGAATTCTGAATGTCCGGATATTTCGTATACTACTGTAAATATTAATAATATTAATTTAAATTCTTAATCTGCGTCTAAAATTTATCTTTTCTAATTTATATATAATATGACATGTATAATATTAATTGATATAAATCTTAATTTAGCATTTATTGTTAGATGCATATTTATTTTAAAAATTACTTTCTTTGAATTATCGCAAACTGCGACCTTCTTATCAAGAAAATGCATATTACAACATTAAACGATGATTCCTGAAATAGACTATCTATAAGTACGTTTCTCGGTAAAATACATTAAAAATTTTACAAATCGTTACAGTGATAAACGAACATGCGCGTATTTTTAAAAAGAGGACATCGTGATGAAAATTGAAGTATATATCAATTATGAAAAATTTACGGCTAAATTTATATTTTTATTACAAGTTTATATGACATTTTTTTCTTTATTTTCTTTTCTTATCTTTTCTAATGTGTTACTATGAAATACTAATATAATAGTGAATAGGTAATAATTTTTTTACATTGATAAGAAAAAGACAGACAGAGAGAGAGAGAGAGAGAGAGAGAGAGAAAGAGAGAGAGATTTAAGTATCTATATTTTTTAATTAATAAAAATCTAATAAAATAAAAATTGCAAAATTGTTATTTTTGGTATACATATTGCAGTTTTATACGTTTTTACGATAATGTAGTTCATGAAATTATCTCTAAGAATGTCACTTCATTAGGATAGTTGAAGTTGGTTCTGTTGACGTCAATGATCTTTAGATATATAGTTTGATTGCTTCTAGTTTCCAGAAAGGGATGGAGAAGCAATTAAACTACAGCTACAATTGATCGATATTGTAAGAATCGGTTTCTCCAAACATATGTAACGAAAACCAAGTGATACATTATACTGTTGTATAAAGGGATGCGATCATTAATCTCATGTACGAAACATACTTATAATGATTAAAAATCCCTCGACAAGATAAAGTAGGATATGTAATTATTCCGAACCCAAAAGTATCTAGATGTAAACATGTAGTCGTCCATCTTCGTCATTTGCAAAACTTTGTATTCTCATTGGGATACATTATCATGAAACGTAATAAATTTACTAAGTATATATGTAATAGAAACAACTAAAATATTTATGTAATCATTTTGATGTTTTGTTATAACATTCTATATATCGTGCAAATTATTTATGAAAGGCTGATATTTTACCATTATTTTTCAAATTATTAAATTTTCTGTGCATAGAGACATTGTAACAAAAATAGTAACATTGTATATTATAACAGTAAATATAAGTTCTGACGATGGTTACTAAAATTATGGCTTTTGGAGTTTTCCCAAACAGTGTACAGAGACAACGTAAATAATGGCAGAATTCCAACAGTAGTTGTGAAACAAAAAGATTGCTAATATAAACTAAATTACTCTCCATTTTATTTGTCAGTTCAAAGACACAAAAATTATGATTTTCATTAGTATCAGCTACGATTTTCATGTATAATAAAGTAAAGTCTCACTTTGTATAAAACAAATTTAATTTCTTGTATAATATTTTTTATTCTTTTTATATTTCTTTAATAATAAAATATTTAATTTTTTTCTTTCTCTCTTATATATTCTTTATATGATTATAATTAAGAAAAGAACAGTATAATTGATAAATTAAGATTACGAAAAAAGATAAAATACGTAAAAAAAGATTAAATACGTAACACGCAATAGAAATATTAATACACGCAAAAAAATAATTCTTCTAATTATGTTTAAAATTAATTTGTTTAAAAATGTTTTAAGTATATCGCAATTCCCAATGCATATTACATTGTATGCAGAAACTAATGATGAGAAAGGTTTGATGCTAAAAAGGATTAACAAGTTTTTGTTAATTTTATTAATCTGTCGAATGCTAAACTCTGGTACATCACGCGCGTTCCCGCGGAGCTATTTGAATAATTAATAATTCGCCAACATCGTCAGGTCAGAAATTCGCACCTCTGTACATTTAGAATATACGCCGTGGTTAAGCTACCTCAGTAGGTCTTCATTCCGAATCCCTTCCGAAAACCATTCTTGAAATGCTACCATCGCATCTCATTTTGAGGGAGGGGAGAATGAAAAGGGGGAGCGAGAATCCCTTTTACGTCACAGCCGCCCGCTATATATATACAGATATATTCTCTCACGCGAGATTCATGCTATCTATATGCATTAGAAAACACGGAAATTACGGGATACAATTGTTTCGCAAACAAGAAAATCACGTGTTTCCCGTAGAAGATTATTTAACATCATCATTAAACATCGGTACGTATCTCATGATTACTGCTAGCTAGAATAGAACTACATGAAATGGTCGAAGCATCTGCGCTCAAGATATTAATAGAAAGCTATCGCCTCTATAATTTGAAAATAAATTGATTTTCTACTTTATTTATATCTTTTATTCTTGAAAAAAAAATTTCATTCTTAATCTATTAATAATTAGAGATTTCGTTCAACCTTTGGCTCTTATGCCATTTTTCTTTTAATTTTTTTTTCTATTAATATATTTTCCTCGTTTATTGATATATACATTACTTTTAATATCTTTTATATTTTTGCGCAGGCATACAATTATAGACTCGCAGCGCGTTCTTCGAAATCGACGATGCATATAAAGAATTATATACTGTGAGGCATACAAGAATTTTTCACGCAACAGTAATGCTTCATCGACTCGGTATACTCGAAATAAGGTCAGTGCACGAGAACTTTGTCTACATTTGCAGTCCGATGACATCCAGCGAATGGTTTAAAGTGCAATCGTTATAAAAGTTTTTCAAGTTTTCTTGCGAAAAATCTTTGTTAAAACAAGTTGCACTAAAAAATATATTATAGTGAAAAATATAATATTGATAAAATTTTATGCAAAAATATTACAATATGATAAACTCAATTTAGTTTTCTTTTGCTGTAATAAAATATTGATGTGATTTTAAAATAACGCGATTTTATCTAAATAATAATAGCGTTAATTAAAATTTTATTCAATATATATATAAAGATATACATGATTTAAAGGATTATCTTCTTCGCTATTAAACTGTACATTATTCTGTATGGAAGTATATTTTTACAACCATGCTTATATTATAACTCTCAGAACTGCTAATCGAAAATCGATTATATTACGGTATATTATATTATACTCTTGTTCAGAAATATTGTAGAAACATTTTTTTGCAATATTTTTTTAATAATGATATAATTACTGCAGGAGTTGCTAATATACTTTAACACAGTATATAAATCTGCTTTTTTATATATCTTGCAAATATAGTTTAACTTAATCGCGTAAAATGTCGGAAGTTTATATTTTTATCAAGACTTCCGAAGTGAGATAAAAAAAATTATAATATTACAGCTGCATTCAATTGGAGAGAAATAAGATCCGGTATTATACATGTAAAGCTCAGTAAAATTTTTGACAAACAATCAAATTTCTTAGATAACAATTTTAGTTAGATAAATAATAACGCATCACAAAATAACGGCGCTTGTCTTGTTCAATTTTAGAAATTGAATTATATTTAAAGTATTAAACAGCAGCAATAATTACAAAAATTTGCATAGAAATTGCGACATAAAATCGCGGCAATGATAACTATCCTCTACTCTTTTCAAAGTCAATGTAAATGTTACTTTGAATTGCTGACAATCAGTGAATAACATACAACGTAGGAAATGCACAATGTGCTGCATCATTTAGTTCAATGCGCAATTGTGATGTGACATAAAAGCAGGTCGAGTAACCGTTTTCGAGCAGCGCAACTGATCGTGAGACCGATGTTAACAAACGTTAAGCGTTTCTCTTCACTTTATATCTTTTAACAACTGCAATTTCTGAGAGCATGGCGATCTTCCATGCCTTTTCATCTTCACAATCATTAAACCTGCTCTCTTTGAATGTTTATAAAAGACAGTAATTCCAAAGTTTGTTTAATGCAAAATTTTCTTTTAGTAATTAATTTAAATTAATTGCTAACTGAGATATATAAATCATAGATTAATATCATAGATTCATTTGTTGAAATTAAATACTTTCGAAATAAAAAAAATGTAGAATATAATGTATATAATCAGACAGAATATTTTTGTCTCCCTACTATGCATCAAACGAATTCAGGTTAACGTTGTTTTCGATCGAGTTAAGTTCGAAATTTGAAGTTAGCTTCGCGTGTATCTTGCACTAATCAAATTCGTCTAGTTAATAAGAAGTGTTTGAAACACTAAACTTCAATAAACATTAAAATTCCATATTTGCTAGGAGCTAATTATGATTCATAATTCGTGCTATCATGAAATTAAATTACCAATCGTTGAATTTTTAATAGCACTATTATTAAGGAAAGAAAATTATACACGAACTATTTCGTAAGAAATTATTTAGGGAATAGTGTTTGCTTGAACCATTTTGGCTATAGATAATATATTCCGTCCACGTGCGAGGTATTCTTACGTAACTTCTGCGATACGGCGATGTTAAAACTGGCAAAGCGCAGAAGAATCGACAAGACACTCGGCAATATGAAACTGCAGTATTTCGCCGATTGCAGTTATTTTCGAGACTTTTTATACAAGATAAAGCTTTATTTATTATTATTTTATTTTAGCTTTTGAACTTTCAGGGCATTATAATTCATTAATAATATATTACATTAATATTAATTATAGTTAAAAATGATATTCGCGAGCGCGAACATGAATTTCATAAATTTATACTATATTTTTGCATTGTCAAATATTTTAATCTGTTTTATTTATGTTATAATTTCGAATGAAAGAGAGAGAGAGAGAGAGAAAACACGAGTTTAAATCCGACACTGATTTTCAATTATGCATATGTAATATTCACACACACACACACACACATACACATATACATATACTATATATATATATATATATATATATATATATATATATGTATGTATGTATGTGTGTGTGTATATGATAAACGATTAATAGGAAATTTAAATTGCACAGTAAATAGCGTATATTACTAAAAAAAATATCAACTAGAGATTAAATTCTAAACAATTGCATTTGACATGGCGATCTAAAAAAAAATTCTAATAATGTACATAAATAATAACACAATATCCACATAAATGCCATAATAGCAACCATTTCGAAAATGTAGCTGCAACATGGCGGTCTGAAAACATCGATCGTAAAAAGAGATTAAGATGACATAAAATATGTTTTTTTTGCAAGGATATTCATCATTGTAAATCGAATATGATCGTTTCGTCATTTTATCAAAGCAAATTCATTGAACTTTAGTTTATATATTTTTTATGAGTCTCACAACATGTCCGTAGATACATCATCTATACTAATAAATATATCAATAATAAAGTAAATAATTAAATAACGCGAAAATAATCGCATAAATTCATCGAATCTATTATTACGTACTATTCAACAATAATTAAATATTAAATCAACACATGCAAGAAATCAAGATATGCAATTAATTATTATTATTATTAAAGTCAAGATAAATACAATTAAAACATACACGAAAATTTATAATAACTAAAACATACACGAAAATTTATAATAACTAAAACATACACGAAAATTTATAATAAAAGTAAATTAACATTTTATAAGTTCTAATTTACACTGATATTAGAAACGTAAAATGTATACACGATCGAGAGAGATAGCTAAATCGGCTCGTGAATCGGCATTAACGCATGTTGGTTCGATTCTCCGCGATCACTTCGTTAAACGAAGTCAAGAACGGATCGAAGAGCGTTCCACCTTATCGGGTGGCAGGCAGTATCATGTTGGGGAAGGAGGATCGATCCCCCGATATTCGTGCAGTCGAGAATCAACGGGGCACTCGGGGTTGGTACCCGCGACGACAGGAACGGTTGCGCGAGGTTTCGTAAGCAAGGAACACGATGGTACCGCGAAAGGGGGTACGCGACGAAGGGGGCCTGACTTACCCTTGTCGAGAGTCTCTCGGGCCGCGTGTATGACCTTTCTGCGCCGGAGACCGTCGCCCGCTAGGGCGCTCGTCATCGTGCTGGTGAAGGTCGCGCCGGTGCTCGTCCCGGTTTTGACATCATCGCCATTCGCGCACTCGTCCGTCGTGGACGTGGTGGCAGCGGTCGACGCGCGATGATGATGATGGTGGTCGAGGAGATTGATCGAGGACCCCTCGCCGCCTGGCATAATGTCCCGGACTGCCAGGGATCGTAGTCCTTGGCCGGAGGACTCTTGCGCCTCAACTGGACTGTGACTCGTCTCGCCCACGTCGTTCTCACCCACCCTCTCTCTCTTTGCCGCGCTCTCGCACCCTCGCCTTTTACTCCTCGCAGCCCGCTCCCGCCATATATTACCCTCCTTACGTCTCACCACTTCTCACCCTTCGTCGCCTACGTGGCTCATGCCAACATAGTCGTCCACTCGTACGATGACGACGTACGTATCGGGTGAGACCCCTATTGCGCTTCCGGCGCCGAAATGCCACCCCTCTGTGACGTGGCACCATCTGCACGAGTGAGGTTGTACTTTGCCGATCGATGGCGTCGTAAGGGTGGGTTTTGGTCGACGTAAGGGATAAAGTTAACTTGGACGTGAGGGAAAAGTTACTAGAATACGCGATAGCGCGCAGATCTGAGAAAACTAGTTTCTATTTTTACACTCGCTAAACAAATTTTGAGATATTTTTATTCATTTGGAAACGATTTACGAAAGCTTCGCAAAAATTCTTTTGTCGAACGAATAAAAGAGAGTCCAGTCTCAAAAGGACTAAAAGACTTTTCGCTGCGAGAAGAATAAGAAAAAGAGTAAACAATTTGTTGCATTTTCACATCTTTATTAAAATACTTACACGCTTAACTTACACGTATATTACACGACGGTATATGTGTAATTAAATTAAATAGGCTTAACTCTCTATATTTTTTTTAAAGCGATACGATATACTCATCCAAGTCGAGCTTTCGCGCTTCGATCTCGCTGGAAGGACATTCGGCGTCCTTTTTATAAGTACACGTCGCGACGGACGATCGATTTGCCGCCAGCGAGGTGGAATTTGCTTTCCAGAAGGGGAAGTCCCTTTTCACGGCTGATATCACGTTGGTATTTCGCCTTTAACCCCGACACACATAATTTGTCGCGACATCTTGAACGATGTTTTATCTCCCAGCGATAAAATATCTTCTTTTAAATGAAGCTGAAGAACATTGATCATTCTCTACATGTTTTCATACAAGGTAATTTAGTTGTACAATCAATTCACATGTTTTGTTATTGCGATGAATCTTATTTGACGGCTGACATTTTAAATAAAATATTAATGTATTGTGATGACAATATATTCATTTTTCAATTTCAATGTGTAATTATAAAATAATGGAATAATTTTATATTAAATTATGATAATTTTCTATATTGCACGAGAGAAAATATAAAATATAAAAGGATGTGAAAACAAAATTATAATTTTGCGAACTGATAAATATAACTTTTGAAAATCCGATTTATAAGCACAATATATGTATATCAATTAATACATTTTAAAAAATAATATGAAAAATGCATCAATTAACACTTTTCTGTTCGGTTAAATTTTAATTTTTGTTGTATAATTTTTTGTTTTTTTACGTGAGATTTAAAAAAACTTTTTATAAATCTTATATTTATGTAAGAATAAACATATATATTTCTGAACGTGTGTATATTGATATTGAAATATTAAATTCTTTTAAACATTATTTAATTTATTTTGTTGCATTTTTCAACAACGAATAGACACTTAAAAGAGATAGATTACCGTTTCTAAAATTATCTTTATGCATTATTATCTGCTTTAATAACCGAGCAGGAAAGTGCTAAAGATGACTTCATGATTAATCGAATTGGCGTTTTTGACATCGCATTATGTCGAATTTTTCTCATCTTTCCATAACGTCATCCATCTTGGGCTTTGTCATCACGCATCGACCTCTATAACAAATCTCTGTCATGTGAGATACCTTCGTGGTAGTCGAGGTTCTAAGGACCTTGCCTAACATCGTCTGGGTAGAATTCGCTCTAATCACCGTGTCTGTAGCTTCCATCGATGTCATTGGTTTTGTGGGCGATGTAGTCGTGGAAGGCTCTGTTATTATGGTTTCTTCAGATGATGCCACTGTGTCCGTGATCATGTCTGGGATCAATGTGGTTGTTTCAAAGATTGTAGTATTTCCTTTCGTCGTTGTCTCTGTCATACTTTGTGCTTCTTCGAAATTAGTAGCGTTCTCTGCGATATTGACATGCGTAAAAATATCTCGCGAAGAATCAGTTGTACTGATTATTTGATCTCCTTTTTTAGGAGTCTCATTTTTAGTTTCGACTACTTTCGCGATTTCTTCTACCTCCTCTTGATTCTCAGCACTCTTCATGCTGTCGAAGATGGCCTTTACATAATCGGATAGCGTTTTTACGCTCGAATTACCCTCGTTTCGTGTGACAACACCAGGAATAGGCGTTGTAAACTGCAGCTTTAATGTAGATTGCGATTTATCGAGGGGACGGATATTTCACTTCGGTCCATTTAATTCTGTGATTCTTCGGGTATGCGTCATTTTCTTCAATATTTTCTTCATGCTTTTTTAGCGTCATTATATGTTCCTTCCCTTTACTGATGGCACTCAATTTCTGTATGTCTTTTTCCGCAGTTGAAAAATTAATCATTTCTGCTATGGTATCCTCGACTTCCTTTGAATGATTTATCAGGATAATTCGATGCCAGATTATATTTTTCATTGAATATTTCGACATTCTCTAAATTATTTTGCTCGCTTTTATCTTCTTGAAAATCTTTATCCCAATATTTCGATTCTGCTTCTTTTTGCATTTCAGTTTCTTCCTGTGACAAATGAACAGTTTGTTCAAACGATGTCGTTTCTTTAGTATCGTTTTTCCATTCGGTTAAACTTTTATTTGTCATCGTTACATGTTCTTCCTCAATATTAGATGTTAGTATTGCACTAGTCTGTGTATAATTTTCCTTCAAAGTCGTTACTTCGCCATCATCGGAAGCGACGTACGGTATCGTCGTTGTCGTCAATATTGCCCAATCTGGTATTTCCGTGGTTGATGTAATTGATGTAATGCGCGTCGGAACCTCGGACAGCTCGTCATTTTTCAGCATCTCTTCCAAGAAGTCTTGCAGAAGAGATTTCTGCGTTGTCTCTGTAGCATTTGTGGTGGTTGCAATGACAGTTATTGGTTGGACGGTGGTGAACTTTGATTCACGGATCGGGTTATACTTGTATTGATCTTGAATCAGGTTGTTTACTGCGGAGTTAAAGTGTTGAGATTCGGCAGTGACAAAATCATCATTACTCACGGGTCTTACCCTCACGCGGACTCTTCTTCTTCGAGTCTGAAAGATGAATATACATATTTTCAACTTATTTTTTTATTATTTCTTTTACATGATATACGAATATCATGTAAAAGATTATAATGTGTGATTTTAATTATATTACAATAAATTTCAAAATTTACATTTTGTGATCTGAGAACTGAAACAATCACTGATCGAAGATTAAAATTTTTTACATTTATATAAAATATAAAATATTATAGATATAAATAAAAATATATAAAATATTTTTATAATCTTTTTTATTTATATTAAATTATTATATAATTTATATAAAACCGGAGAAAATATAATTATTTTAAACTTATAGATAGATTGAGAATGTATTTGTCACGTAAAAGTATATTATTTTATTAGTGATAAAGTGCATAAAAAATTAGTATTTTAGATACAATATTTTACCTTTCTACCGATAAGAGGGTCGGTGATTTTTTTCTTTGTGTCATCACCTGCTTGTTCCTTGGAATTATCTTCCTTATCTCTCATCCAACCTCGTGTTTCGAATGACATTTCCTTATCGCTTCGGGTTTGATCCTGAAGTACGAGCGTCGTTACAGCCGTTGTGGCATTCAATTTCTCTATGTGATCCTCCACATTCGTCTTCATTCCGAAAAGAGCATCATCCATCATTGCGTCTGTGCCACCGGTCTCGTTCGACGGTTTTTGGTAGTCGGAGAAAACGACTACCGTTACCCCCGATGGCACTTCCGGTCCGGCCGTAATAATTTCAGGCGCGTTTCTGTTCTCTTGATTATCGCGAATCCTGTCTCGTTCCTTCTTTGATTCATCGGTCATGCGATTCGAGGTGAAACTCGGCTGAAACGACGTCTTCGATAGCTTCGTGGACCATTGACTCTCGGAGCCATAAATGTCACCGCTAGACTGCCCGCTCACACGATCTGAATGACTATATTTGCTTGATGGAATACTGGCCAGTTGGGTCTGATCATATTCCTCCCGTTGTGACATCTGCTCCGGCAGATTGCCGAAATTTAGAATAAATTCTTGAGGAGGATACTGGAAACATACACGCGTGCGTTACATTTGAGCAGTTCAGGAAGAAGTAAATTACATTTTTTAGAAGAAAAATGTTAAAGAATAAGTTTAAAATAATCATTTAAAATTTAAAATTTTATCATTTAAAATTTTAAATATTACAGTGTTGCAAATTTTGACATCATAAATTTTGAATGAAAGAAAAATTTAATACATTTTTTTCGGAATGCAATTAATGATATTTCTTTTTTTAAGTGAGCTACGATTAAAGAATTTACGTACATTTTCGCTATTCTCCTCGTAAAATTGCGTCTGTCGATTCTGATTTGGCACGAATTGCGACATGTCGAAATTGTCATCGTAGAGAGGTTGTTGTCTTGTCACTGGTAATTGTTGTGACGTTATTCGAGGATAATTCTCGTCTAGCGGCAGTTCATTGTTTGCCTCGAGACCGGATTCGGTGCTCGTCATCGTGCGTTTTTTTCCCGGTCGGCGGATTCTCCCTCGTATTCTCGTCTGCTTCAATTCGTCCGGTTTCGTTTTTGGTCTCACCGTATATACGGTGTTATCCGGCAACACCGTTGCAACAGGTACAGTTTCTGTTGTTGTCGTAAATATTTTCGTGGTCGGATGGCGAGTCGGGATCTGATTGTATTTCGGACGATTCTTCACAATTTGAGTCGGACTCGATTCCACTGCTGCCTCATCGTTGGATATTATGTGTTGTATCTGCAACGCATTTATTAATGCTTCCTGTGTGATATAGTATGATGAAGGAAAAATTGATGGAGTGTTTCTCTCGCACAAAAGTCTCATAATATGTTTAGTGATGAGTAACTTTTATGTAATATTGAAAACATTGAAAAATTTTAGATGATTAAGAAAAAGATTGATGAGTTATCTACACAACAGTTTCATTTCAAAATAAAAGAGAAACGTAATATTAAAAAAGAAATATTAAAAAAGAAAAAAAAAACTTTATATATTTTTTAATAAAAAAATAAACAGATAATTAACAGATGCAATAAAATTTTAATAAAATATGATAGATAAAATCATAAAAAAGTGTTTTGTTAATTGAGTGTATACACACATCATACATTATTATAATTTATAATAGAAATCTGAAAAAATTAACTACATTCGCCTTTAAAGTAAGAATTTTACCACGACTAATTGAAATGTGTATTACAAAAAACGAGTTCTTATTCATTTGAAATTACGAAATTATGATTTATATCATAAAGATAAAAAAAATAGTTTCTGAAACACGTGAGATAGTTTGTCATGATATTATTATGTAATTTTTTTGTAAAAAGCTATTGTTTTTCTTTCAAAAACTGTTGATGAGCAAAGCAAATATTCTGCGTGATTAGGACAGGTTTTGCTTGAAATGACAGTTCTTCGAGATTTAATTGAAAATGATTAGATATTAAAATTAATTATTAATTGTTTTCAAAACTGTTTTTTTTTCTTTATGTCTTGCGAAACGTACTTCAGATAAAGCGGGTCTATATGTAACGGGTGCTTGGAATCTAGTATCCACCGGATGCACCGGTTGTACAGGACGGAAACTCGGCGGCCTTATAAATCCGTAATCGATGTCTTCCTCCTCAGGGCGGGCAGTCGTGGTGGTGGTGGTGGTGGTAGTTGTCGTTGTCGATGGTGTAGTAGTAGCGATCAACTTCTGCTGCTGACCGGCGTGTATTTTTATATATTCGTTATTATCGGTTTGCACTTGCGATCCATGGTTCTGCGGACGCGTGCGTGTCTTCGTCCTTGATCCATCGCGATTCCTGTGACTCGAGCTGCGAGAATCGTGATTCACGACACTAAAACGAACATACTCATCCTGAGACCCTCGAGGTCGCGTTTGGATCGTGGAATCTTGATGAGTGCGACCACTCAATCGACCTCGAACTCGCTGACGTATTATTACAGGTGCTGGAGTGGTTGTGCTGGTTGTAGTGATCTGAAGTGAAAACATTTAAAATGATATTTAAATATTACATGAGAAAATATTATTTTATAAATATTATATAGAAAAAAAGAACATTTGTGCATGTTATTTTATTTAGTAATGCACATAAAATATAGTAATATTATCTTTATGTATCGTTTTATTTTTTGTGTCAATGATAATTTTGAAAATTTTGTTAAATGTAAGATTTTAATAATTAATTATTATTTATTGCAGCTTACAAAATTTCAATGAAATTTTATTTTTTACATATAATAAATGCTTTTCAGAAATGCATTTAATTAAAACATTCGCGCGTAAAACGTTCAATATTGATAATATCAATTTAGCATATGTACTTCAATAATTGATGCCTCTGTAGAGGGAATCTGCAGCTCGTAGTCTTCTTGCTTGCTCTGCTGAAGCGGAACAAAAATCGGTGATGCATTCGGATCAGCCTCTATCGCGCCGTCCTCTATCTTGGCGTCATCAATATTGCGGAACGAATTCTGTCCACCGATGTTATAATCCGGCTGAGTTTGCGCTACGTTGACCTCGTAAATCGGAGAATATCGATGTTCCTCGCCGGGTCTGACTCGCGGATTTTCCGTGATGGCCAGATTGTAGTTGGCATTTTCCTGATAACGCGAGTACTCTTTGTGTCTCTGGGGAATATTCGTTTGGTCTGGTGAATTCTCGTTTGCAACTTGATAATTGAAACCGTTTACCGGGGCTTGTTCGAGTTTCGGTTGCTCGAAGGCGTTGTTCTGATCGTAAGTGGCATCCTGATGATAACGCGCATCTTGAGGGTGATTTTGTGGATAATTTTGACTCTTTGAGTAATCTTCGGACATTAAAGGCGCGCCGTGCTGTATCTCACGCAATGGCTGATAATTCTCGGTCTGCGCGGGAGTGGTTGAAGGATAACTCTCACGGGTATAATCGTTCACTCCCGACGAAGAAGTTTCCTTTTGCTGGTGATTAGAGACAGATTCACCTGTCGGCGAATACGCGTCGGGAGATGCATTGTTTTGCGAATCACTTTGCGTTGGATAATTCTCGTAATTGAGCGTTTGATGAGTTTGAATCTGAATAAATCGAAAAGATAATGTTTAGATTTTAACGGATATTCTTTAAATTTCTCATTTCTAAAATTTAAAATGTAAAAGAGAGAAATGAAAGATTAATCAATACCAATTGAGAATTCGCTTTATCTCGATTTCTGTATTTTTGCGGTCTGGATGTTGGTCTCCTATGTTCTATCGCGTTATATTTCTGCGTGGTCTCCGGTATTTTCCCCTTCGTAGGCTCATAAGATGTTTCACGATAATCCTCCGTAGTAGTTGAAAATCTGGATTTAGATCTGTTGTATGACGGTCTTCGTGTTCTATCGGTTTTATTACTAGGTGTTTGAGTCGTTTTGGATCTCGTGGGTACGGTTCTACCCCTGCAAATATTTGTGATGTAATATATTTCCACATTAATGTCATGTTGAAATTCATGATAAAACTGAAAAATTATTATTGCTGCTGTACAGACATTTTAGATGTTTTATATTACTACTTATATTAACATAGTATAAAAAAGAGTTTTACGTGGAATTTTTATATGAGAAAATTTTATCTCCAATATATTATGATATGCATCATCTTAAGTATAAGGTATAAAAACGATAAATGTATGTAACAAAACTTGAATAATTTAAGTAAAGGAGAAGAAATATTTCATACGAAATAAATTTAAAAATATTATTATGCAAAAGTTACAAATTATAATAAAATTAATGACATATTTGACATATCATACACATCTGAATATACACTTACCTTCCTCGAGGTCTGTAGGTCGTGGAGCTTACACGAGCAGTTGTTATCGTTGTTGATGTAGTCGTCGTTGGTGGCGGCGTCGAAGCAACAGAAAGATTTTCCTCTTGTTTATCCAACAAAGAGTTCACTAATCCTGGTAGATGTGGAGAAATTGGCGGTAATTCCGCTGGTAAGTTGTATTGCGTTGGGCCAACTGGTACTCTGACGTCATTGGTATCGTACGATTCACCTAGATTATTAGCCTGAGAACGATATTGTTCGGCAGCGTTATACTTTTGCGTCTCTATTTGCTGAGCAAGTTCCTGATTGAGGAGCGCCAATTGATGAGCTGTTAAGTCTTGTTTCTTCGTAGAAGGATCGTGTGGACTTATTGTCTCGTCCTGGAAATTTGGCGTGTTAGAATAAGATATCTCCTGTCTATAGCTATCTGTCGTGTCAAATTTGGGAGATTGAGTAATCGATTTGGATTCTTGTTCGTAATAAGACTGCTTCGGTTTCGTCTTCGTGATCGATTGTTCATCGTAATACGATGTGCTGACTACGGAGGTCGGCTTATTATCGTAATACTGTCTGAACCTAAATCTGGAACCTGACGGCGATTCGTATTTTGCATTGCTGGATTCTGGGGAAAAGTTTTGAGCGGTTGAAGATTCGTAAGACACGGTAGTGGATGGATTCACGATGGATTCGCTTTGATCGGCATTGTTATAAGAACTCGGTTCGATCAACGATGTCGGACTAGAATTCTGTTCATATACTTGTGCATTCGGTTCCGGGGATGTTTCCGATAGCGTGTTAACCACAACGGAACCGATATGCGGTGCAGGGAACGGGATTTTGGCATAACCCGGTGGCGGATCAAAGCTCAATGGGGCCACAAAGAAAGGTAGTTTGTCGACCTTGCGTTCTACTCTGTTGTGATCAATCGACGACAGATAAGGAAGATCGAATTTGGCGTAACCGAAAGGAGGATCCAAGTTTGACGGACCCACGAAGACCTGCGGAGCACCGGGGCCGACGTTGTCCAAAACGGCGATGGTTTTCGCATCTTTCAAGATCTTTAGGACATCGGTGACTTTAACGGAATCTAGCCTAGAGCTGAGATTGCCCATGTAAACAGAGAGAGGTGGTTGATTAGGCGACGGGGTGGTCGTGATTTCTCGGTTCGATTGTTCCTGGTATTGATTGACTCGTTGACGTTGTCTGCCACGAATCTTCTTGAGCCTGGTGTTGTCCGTGAGATGCTGGCGATGCACTTGTTCTCGGAATAGAGCTTGAGGGTTTTGTTGGAAACCGGTACCTTCCAAGATTTTCTGCTGTTCCAGCTTTTGTCTCTCTTCGCGCTCTCTGGTTTCTTCCTCACGGCGTTTCTCTTCCTTAGCGCGAAGTTCGGCAAGTCGTCGTCGTTCGAGTTCCTCCTGTCTCTGCTTTTCTCTTGCTTCGCGAATTCGTTCCAATTCTCGTTGCCTCGCTATTTCTTCCAATTTTTCCAGCTCCTTCCGTTTTTTCTCGGCTTCCTTTTGCTGCAATAATTCTTGTTCCCTCTGAAAAGCCTCCTGTTGCAATCGCATCTTTCGCTCGAGTGCTTTCTGCTCCTCGTTTAATCTGGTGAATTCTTTTACGCGTTCTTCCTTTAGGAATTGCGCCTTCTCTTCCTGTTCTTTCTGAATCTGCTGCAACACCTGCCGCGCGTAGATTTCTTGATTGGGAGAGAGCGAGGTTTGTTCGACGTTTCTTTGGTTCTCTCGTTGATGATAATGTTGGCGAACGGGATATTGCTTTCTCCCGCGGCCCCTTTTTAGTTGGCCTGTTTGCGCCAAAGTTTCCGCCGGAACGTACACCAGTTGGACCTATGAAATATCACAATCGCTGTCAAAATGCACATGTTTAATCTTTGATTTATAGATTATAAAATTATAATTATTGAATTTAATATTAAAATAATATAATGATATATAATTAATATTGAATAATTAATATTGAATTTAAAGAATTACAAGTTTAGTCTTTTTGTATAATTTATTAATTAATATTATTATGTATTATTACATAATAATATCTCGTAAACATCTTAATTAAAATGAATTTTTATTACGTTATATTTACTTCGTTGCACAATGATTATATTAAAATGATATCAATTATATAAATCAAGGTGCGTGTGAATAACAATACATACAATTTAAATCGAAGTCAAGATTTTATCTACTTATTTTCTTCTTTATTAAATTTCAGAATTTATTAAAATTAATTACTATTCTAGATTCAATCTTTCTCTAAATAAAAAATCAGATTGATTTATCTCTTTATTTAGTTCTGTTTTATTCCGTTAATATGTACATATTGTATATTCCATCTATGCTCTAATTCTGATATCATATCTTTGATCCGACGATAATATTGCAGAAATAGAAATTGGAAATGAAATTAAATCACGTTTGAAAAGAGAACAAATTGTGGATTTAATTCGCTTTAATTCATCTTTCTACAAACCTCTTCTTCCTCGTTTTCGATCAAAGGAGATTGCGACAATTCTGAATTCGGCCGTTCTTTTAAACGTTTTCCGTCGGGTCTTTGACTTCCCTGTTTCGTCACGTAAGTATGAAGTTCTTCTTGCGTGTCATCATTGTGTTGCAATATAATTTGCTCCTGGGCAGGCAAGTTCGATAGTTCCTGATTATCGTTCAGATTCTGATGGACTTGCCCCGGTTTTCGAGGGAGGAAACTTTGAGCGGGATATACCGGTAGAATCGCTTCCGAGGATGGATGTGGCGGGACTAAAACTTCCGGCGATACAGACTCGGGTGCTGTTTGCAAATTGCCTAAAGAACTCGGTGGCAGCGCTTGTTTTTCGTCTTTGGCGTCGGGTAAAAACGTCTGGGACTGTATAAACGAAAATAAAATTAATTTAAAAAATTAAGCAAAGGAAAACCGACTGATATCCTTTATACAAATTTTTAAGCTGTTATTAAATTTAATAAATAATTTAATAAATAACAATTCTAAAAAAGCGCTTAATAAGCGTTTATTTTTAGCTTCCTTTATTACTAGCTTTATTATCTTTTAATTATTTCTCATATAAAAAGCTTTTGCTAAATACATCTTTTATTATATGTATAAATATAACTCAAATTCTTTCTTATACATTAGAAAAGAAAAATAGACTAAATGAACAATTTACATGAAAAAAGAAACTAGTTGTAAATAATATCAAATAATATCGTTATTTCCTATGATGTTGATATAATCGAAACTAATGTAAGATATTTTACCTGAAGAAGTTGCTGCTGAGCTCTGAGCTGCTGTTGCAGCAATAGAAGCTTTTGAATACTCTCCTGTGTCTTTTGCAGCTGAATCAATTGTTCCTGGTATTGCTGCTGAAGAGCAGGCGGTAACGCGAGTGATTGAATCGGATTTGGTACATGTGTGCTGCCAGCTGATAAAAGGTTGCTTCCTGCATTGCTCTGTGACAGTTGAGCGGCCCTCGGATTAGTCAAGGGGATCCATTCGCTATTGGAGACTTGTCGTGACCATCGCTCGGCCGCACTTCCATCAAATTCGCCTAACAATATTAGGACGATGAACATCGCGGTCGATACGAAACACCTCCGCATAATCTAAAATCAATGTTCGATTAATTGATCGTGAATGTTAAGCAATTAATTTCTATGCACGATACATACACTATTGACAGCGTAAAATTGCTTTGATTGACTTTTCATGGATCTAGGTCAACATCGACATCATTTTGTTTGTGTGTAATGTAATTTATATTTTAAAAATAATCACTCGTGTTATGAGTAATATAAATGTAATTGAAATGCAAGCTAAATTGTATATTGCATGTACAATTATAAATTAAATTCTGTCGCAAATTATATTAGAACATTCGAGCGTTTAAAACGAATTCTTAAAAACTAAAAAATTTTTATGATGCTGAATAGATGTTTTAGATGTTCTGCTTGAACGATAATAGAGGAATCCTTTTGGAATGAGTATTGTATTATTTTATGCATCAAAGAATAGGATACTAATACATTAAAGAAAAATAGACAAAATGTGGTAGCGCCTTGTACAGTAATAATAAGAAACTAACCGCAATCTAAGTAAAGTATTTATTATAAACCAATGAAATGATGATTCGATTTTATAGTTTTTAATGGAATCTGCGGTTTCATGATATGAAAAAGCAATGCTATTACTTTCGAAATTATTGTCCACACTCATCAAAGATTTCGTAAACTTATGACGTTTAAAAATCTTTGAATAAATTATTTCCTCATTGCGAAAAATCATCCGTTTTTTTACGAACAGATATTTAATGATAAGATAAGAATATTGAAATATCATTATGTCCAATAATGTAACAGTAGATATCATTATTGAGTAATTTATTTTTATTTCATTTTAATGTCAGTACAAATAAATTTAATTTATTTAATTTTTTCTTTTAATGTCACACATAAAGTTAGATTATACAATAAAATTGATACAAATTAATAAATTAAATTGTTGGGAAAAAATCTAATCATTATCGGAATTACATCTTTTTTAATTAGAAAATTATATAAATTTAATTAAAATAAATATAAAATATTTATATATATATATATATATATATATATATATATATTATGTAAATATTTTATATATGATAATAGGCATGCGTAATTTAAAATACTGTTTGAAATATTAGTATATAGTTAAATAACAATAAAGAAAAACTAAGTATTATTCTTATATATCTGTATATATTTGTTTATAAGAAATTGATAAAATATTTTTATTTCTCTAGAATATATGTAGGAAAATTTCACTCGAGATGTTTTCGATACAATTCGCGATTGACTTGTCCCATGTACGATCATTCATCTTCAATAGAGATGCAAGTGACACGTATTGTTACATTGAAACAATATGCAACGGTTTACAATTGTCTCGATATCTGTTTTCGATACAATTTTCCGTTTCACTTCTATTTAATTCACCGCACGCGACTTTGCTACCGTTACATTAATATTTTTTTTATTATTCTATTTTTGTCAGAAATATCATTAGGCAAAGAAATAAATTGACGAGCGTATCCCATAATATACTTATGATAGCTTCATCACGTTGGTTTTTAATCGATTTGTGGATACAAATTAATAATATGAAATTAAATTGTACGCAATTAAAATAATAGTGCTGTGAGCACATGAATCATTAAACATACTGGCATGTCTCTTTCGAATTATAAAGACAACTTTCACTAAGATTGTCACCTTTATTTATAATCATGTGATTTGTAAATGTTGATATATTAAAGAAAGTTGTTAGTAATTTCATATAATTTATTAGATATAGATAATTCAAGTTTTTTATTAACAAAAAAATAAATAATAAATAAAATAAAATAAATAAATTCGAAGATTTCTATTAGAAAAACTGATAAAGATTAATTTACTTCAATCATATGTGACTTTAAAATATAATAGGGTTTAAAGGATATTAAAATATAATATTATAATATTAATTAGAATATAACAGTAAAACATTATAACTATATTTTTCCAATTTAGTTTCTAATATTACATATAATATATTTTTCAGGAAATGTCTGCAGGCAGTGGTGACATGATACTCCAGTGAATGTAGTCGGCCTTCTAGTTACGGACGCGGAAAATGTACATATGGTCCGATATCTTGAACTTATATCCCCAAGCATATCAATGAGAGTGTCACGACATGTAAGTAGATATGTAGAAAAAAAAATTCGAACAACTTTTTCTTTTATATCACTTGAACTTTTATGGTATAATCAATATACGATTAATGATAATAATTAATACTAAGGTGAATTATTCTATTAATATTTCTATCAGATATTATTCTTATCGTTATCTTTGCAATTATCAATATTCGGAGTTAATATCGTTATTGAACGTTATTGTCTGCGAATCGTGAAACTTCTGGAGTATGACCAAGCTAACGAACTGTGAATCGTATCAAATGGCATACGATTTCTAATAAGTGGTTTGAAGACTCTTTACCGGATCTTACGAGATCATAAGTTACGAAGCGAAGCTTTTATAAAAATTGATGAATTACACGAGCAGTTATGTAGAAAGCAAAACGCATAACGAAAAAACGAACAAATTTATCAATTAAATCAAAATCTATCATTTAAACTCATAACATATTAATCTATCTACATTAAGATTAAAATGTTTTTTATTACGTAAACATGATTTAAAAGTATTTTAAGGATATTATAGAAGTAGTATAAAAAGTGAATACGTATATTTGCTATCGTATAATCGAAGAAATTGTTTGCAAACCGTATTTTAAATTAAAAAAAGATATATATTTAACAGAAAAACGTACTTAGAAATAATTGTACAATAATTCAGTAATGTTATCTATGCTATGTGGAACCATCCGATAAATGAAATCTATATTTGATGCATCTATATGTGTATCGATTTTACTTTAATACATATTTCAATATGACATACAATCATCGACAATCTCGAAAAAATGTTTCGAGTAGCTAGAGCATTTAATCGATACTATCTCATTTTGATATTATCGGTGCAATTAATGTTTATGTAATGATGCCATCGAGAACGATGATATCATCTGCAAAGCGATTTGAAAAATTTGCAAAACGTTTGAATCATGGCAATTTTCGAGCGTCAGCTCTGCGTGCCACTAACATGATTTTGATTACGAGCCGTGATGCATACGAGGCGCAATGCAATTTTCATTACGGAAGTTGCGTGTCGGATACAGCGCGCGATTTTTCTGCTTTCTTCGCGATTCTTCAGGCGCATTCCAACCGGTAGTTTTAGAAACGAATCCATCGAGTGTAAAATAATGATGCTCTTCGCGTAGACAGGGTTCCTCGTCAGAAAGAAAAGAAATCGATCCCGTTCCAGGAACGTTCGTTTCGCGCATACTGCGCGTAGCAACGAAATTCCGACAGAGAAATATATAGTTCGATTGCATTTCTCGATGACGAGAGCAACGAAAAATTTGCTTTAAAAAAATAAATATAAATGTATCGAGTATAATCATTGAAGTTTGTCGATCGATGCTTGCTGCCATCATAAGTAAGTGCATCCTTCAAGTTTTATTAGTACAATATTTTATTTTTTATATTGAAAGAGAGAGAGAGGGGGAGAGCACGAATATATTCTTGATTACTTGATATTTATTCGACTATAAAATTGTTGATTGAAAAATACATATCTGGAAAAAGTGGAAATTTCTTGAAAGCATTTTTCCAAATATATACGATTGAAAGTATGTCGTGATGATACTAGCATTATGATATATACATATCGCAATTCCGTTTTCAATCCTAGTCAATATCCCACGCGCTCCCAGCCCCGGGTGCGACTGAAACGATCTGATCGCCGTATGATCGTCGAAAGAAATGACTTTCTCTCGACAGAGAAGCGCGTAAAGCATAAGGCGATATTCCCCGGTCTCTTTTGAACTTCACTCGCTAACATCGCCCAGCCAATTCCGCCGGTAATGTGTGCAATTATCAGTCGTCTGTGTTTGTTACATGCCGGATCTGGGGACGGCGTTAAAAAGGAGGTCGAACACCTTTCTCTCAAGGCGTAAGGAGAAGCTAGCCGTATCTTCGGAAAAAGGTGCGGTCTCGGTATCGTCACTTTGGACCAACATAATCGTTGCTTTTAACACAATGAGAGAGAGCTTCGCGATAAGTCAAATTACATTACTACATCATGAGTCTTCACTCTTTGTCGCATTTTTAAATGTTTATTTTAAAAAATTCTTTTAAATATGTAACATAAAAAGATTGCCTCATATAAAGTAGTATATTGCCTGATATAAAGTAATTAATGTTGCGTCGAGAAATTAAGTAATCGATTGATACGAGAAGTCCAGTTGATATAGTCACTTGGGAAATTTAATATATCAATTAAAAAATTTAAAAAATATATACTTTAATGAATCTCGGTGATATACTTGAAAAGGCGATCGAGAATAAGAGATATATTGTATCAATTTTTAATTTTGTAGTGAAAATAATTACAATAAAAAATAATCGAATCTTATTAGATTAAATGATATTTGTGAAAAAAAGATTACAAAGGCTGATAATCTTTTCATTCATATCCGAATGCGTTTTTGTTTAAGTATTACTGAAGTCCCCTCTCTCTAGAAGCCTCGACAGCGACATATAGTAATTTAAACGTGTGTGCGTAATCGGATTGAATGTACCGTAAAAATGCCATATTTGCGGCCTTCGGAATTTCACGCTCTACTTATACTTTTACACTATTCTCTACTTGCTCGCAAACTTTCGTTTCTTAGGTTTTGAGAGGGTGCCTAAAAGAAATATACTAGCGAGCGATAAGTTTCGATCGAGTGTTTCTTCTAGATAATCTTCACACGCGAACTCAGAAATAGCATTGTATTCCGCGATTGTATCTCACAATCGTGACTTACCGTAAAATATATGTATCTCATTGTGAAAATACTATATGAGCGCATTAGGTTCTACGTTTAATTATTATGTAAAGAAAATCAATATAATTTTTAACTTTGAGATATTTAAAATAATTCCTAAAAATAAAAGTATATAGCACAGTTTAATAAA